CGCCCGCGGGGGTGCTCCGGGCTCTGCGGCGTCGCTTTGAGGAGAGGCTGCGGGAGCTGGGCCCGCATTGCGGCCTGAGCGGGTCCCGGCCGTGCGGAGCGGAGGTGCCGGGAGCACGGGGCAGGCCAAGGAGCAGGGGCCATAAACTGGACCAGAACAAGAGTCCCTTCGCGTGAGGGTGGCGGGGCCCGGCACAGGCTGTCCCGGGGGGGGGGGTGTGATGGAGTCTCCCCCTCTGGAGCCATCCCAGAGCCACCACGGACACGTTCCTGGCGCTGGGTGACCTCCGGAGGAGCCCCACGGCTCTGGAGCGATGTGAACCCGCCCGGGTCCATGGAAGTAAAGCTTGGTTGTTGTCAATCCAATGGGTCCTGCGTGTGTTTGAAGCAGGCTCGGGCCTTTGCCTGCTGCCTTTGGGCCTCTTCCCCGCTGCTTTCTTAAAGGAGCGTTAAAAATGAATCCCAAGAGCCTGATTCCGCATCCCTGGGGAGCCCCATAGAGCCAGCGCCGGGATGGGACGGGAGGGATGTGGTGGGGTAAGGAGAGAGGGGGCTTCTGCTTCCCTGAAGGTCTCCGCTTGAGTCCACCAGGGCGGGAGTTAAAGGCGATGTGAGGGCTGGGAGCAGGGGGAGTTGTGGTTGGGAATACTTAAGCAAGAGGAACCGGCCTCAAGCTGCACCAGGGCAGGTTCAGATGGAGCTGAGGAACAATTCCTGCCCCAGAGGGTGCTCAGGCATTGGAACAGGCTGCCCAGGGCAGGGCTGCAGGCACCGGCCCTGCAGTGTTCACACCCCATGGGGCCGAGACCTCAGTGCCATGGGTTAGGGGTGGCCTTGGCAGTGCTGGGGTGAGGGTTGGGCTGGGTGAGGTCTTTTCCAGCCTGGTTGGTTCTGTTTCTGTGGCCCGCACACAGGGACTGATACAATGGGGCCTTTTGGTTAAAAAGCCACCGTTCTCCACCAGGTTCCTGTGGTTCTGCTTTACCCAGCCCAGAGCAGCCGTGGTTGGAGGCAGCGCTGGTCAAGGGGGGGCTTGGAGCTGCCTTTTGCCCTGGCTCCCTGCTGAGCTCCGGGGTGGATGCAGCTGCAGGGCCCATACGTGAGAGAGGAGCATTCCCTTCACAGGAGGGGTTCATCAGGTGTTACCCAGAGCATCGACACTTCCCGATGTCCCTCGGCCGCACCAGGCCTGGGGACCGTTGCCTGTGCCTTTTGCTGAGCGGTTGCATGGTTCTGCCCGCAGCTGCTGGGGAGGAAGGAAAGGTCAGTGCTGGAGGAGGGGAATTCACTGGGATCTGAGCCCCTTTCTTCTCCAGCAGCGTCAGTCCCGGGGGTGCCATGGCTGCTCTGACGCGGGGCTGGGACCCCGCAGCATGGCCCGGCTGCAATCCCCCTCCCAGCCCTGCAGCTCCCGCCCGGCATCAATGGCCCCATTCACTGGGATAAGCCGGAGTTCAGTGGGAGCAGGCCTGGCGTGACGTGCGCCCGTTGTGCCAGGGGCAGGGGGCAGAGCAGGACATGGCCATGGCTGCGGAAGGAGCCAGCGTTGTGCAGCACAACGGGAGTGCTCAGGGCACGTGCCTGTGTCTCGTGCGTCCCTCTGCGCCCACGAGCACCCTGGCACCCAGCTCAGCACCCACTGAGCCCCCTTTAGGCTCCTGCAGCCATCAAGAGGCCGGAGGCTTCTCCTCGGCCCTGGCCTTGCAGCTCCTGCAGTCTCTGCCTCTGGTTTGGCCTCTGGAGTGCTCGGTACCCGCAGAGGCTGGTGTGAGGGGTCCCCAAAGGGCAAGGAGGCTGCTTTGTGTTCGGGGTGGAATTGTGCATGGATAATCCTTTCCTTTCCCTTGCCCCAGGTGGGCTGGGCTCTCTGTCAGGACACAGCAGCACCCCGTGTACCAACACAGGGAGAGTTTGCTCCAGAGCGTAAAGCCGGTGGCAGAGACTGGATTAAACCCCCAAATTCCCGACTCCCGCACCTAGGCAACTAGGCAGTGCTGTCTTTCTAGGCTAAGCTTTATTTAGAGCAGGAGGAGGCTTGTTTTGGAAACAGCCTCGCATGGACAGATGAGATGTTTTCTGCATCTCAGCAGAGCTTGGTGCCTTCCCTTCGGCTTCTGCGCTGTGAATTGGGATCTCGGGAGCGCATCCTCATCCCCGCTGCCCTCCCCGCTCCCCCGTGGCCGTGTGTTTTGGAGGAGAGAGGAAAATCTTCCAGTGATTACCTTGGCCATCCCTCCCTTTTAAGCACCAAAGAGAAATGAGGTGATGGCTTTACTGCATCCACACCCTCTGTTGCCACAAGTGTCTCATTTGTGACCACCAAAGGCTATTTTAAGCCTCATGGAACCACGTAAACCCAAGTGTTGCAGCAGCTCGTCCCCAGCCTCCCAAAGAGCTCCTGTTCTCCCTTGCCCAGTTCCCGCAGGTGATTTCACAAGCGGGAAGGGGTTATCCTGGCGTGGCCTGGGCACCGCTGCTGTTTACTGCAGGAGGAAGGATGTGGGGCAGATGTTGATGGTGAGGCATGGGGGGGGTTGTTGCATCCTTGCTCTGCAGGGGGTTGCTGTCACTGGCCTCCTAAACCATATGCCTCTTGGCAGGGTGCTCTTGCTGAGTGGCCTGAGGAGCTGGCAAGGGTTTAAAGCCAGGGTTTGAACTGGTTTTGTGCTGTTTAACTCCCCAGGTTGGCACCAGACACAACGCAGAGTCAATGGGAGCGTGTTTGCTTGAGGTGTTTGGGGGTGGAGGTGAAGAGGAGCTGCCCCTCTCAGGAAGGATGGATTGACACCTTCCCTAGCAAGGGGAGAGTGTGGGGAGGAGCAGGCGTAGCTGCCTGGCAGCGGGAGAGTGGGGTTGTTGCTTGTTCATGGTGGTTTCCGTGTTCTGGAGCTGTGCTGTGGCCACGTTGGGCAGCTGGGATGCAAAACACAGCCCAAGGCACTGTTTTCTTTCCAGTGAATCAATATTGATGGGGTTTTTTGATCCCAGCAAATCCCAACTTGGTCAATGGCAGCGTCCCCAATTCCTCCCAGTATCAACGATACCGGGAGCTGGAGATGAGCACGGGATAAAATGAGGTTGGATGAAGCAAGTGGATACCAGGGCAGTGAGCAAGGTGCACGCTGCTCCCAAACACCTCCCTGCACGCTGCGGCCACGTGCAGCACCCATGCAACAGCCCAGGATGAAAGCAAAGGGATGGGAGCTGGGTCCTGGCGCTGCGATCAGCAGGTTAGCTTAGTTCTGCTGATCCCTTTCCCACCTTCTTTGCCCCAGCAGCTAAACCCCAGTGTTCTGCTTGAGCCCCAACCGTGTTTCACAACCAGGCTTCACTGAAAATGGGTATTTTTGTAGCAGAGTCAGGGCCTAAAACAGCCCTGCAGAATTGTGCTCGCCTACGCGCCTGGCGTGAGTAATTTTCTTTTGATGGGTGAGTAAAATATCATTATATATTTTTTTCTCGTGCTCATCTTGGGATGGGTGGGAGAGTGGATTCGGACTGCATTCCTGGAGCCGCTTCCACACTGACACCACGCTCGGCTCCCTGCGAGATGCAAGGAGACAGCAGCCCCTGCGCCGAGGAGCCGGGTACCCTGCACTGGGGGCAAGGAGGGTGCCTCCCATCCCTGCGCTCCCCCGGAGCACCACAGTGTGGCTGTTCCCATCCCTTTGCTCCTTCTGCCCCACTGCAGGGGCTCATCCCTGCATGGCCTCACACCTGAAGTCACAGGGATGGGGTTGAAATGCAGGTGGGAGCGCGCTGGGGCTGTTTCTGAGGGACTTCTTGCTCCTCTCAGCACCCTGTGACCTCCCCTCTCGCCTCCCCCAAGCACAGAACCCGGAGCAGGCTTTGGCACCGCGGCTCCCTCGACAGAAGCTGTTTGTGATCCGTTTGAATAATTTTTTCCCTTCTTCCCCCCCCTCCCTCCTTTGCCTTCGCGCTGTTTGGAGCCGTTGCTATGAGGCAGGGTGGGGGGGACGGGGTGGGATGGTGCCTGCGGTTGCCATGGACACCGTGTAGTACAGGGAGGAATCCGGAGCGATGCTCGGGATTCACGGCTAACCCGGGGCTGCCTTCCTCACCTGGGCAGGGCTGGGATCCCGCTGCTCCGAGGGCTGCATCCAGGGCAGCCCCTGTGGCCGTGGCTTTGCAGCTTTTGATGGCCTTTAGGACAGCCAAAGTTGTGAGATGCGTGGTGCTGGTGCCCGGGTTTGGGGTTTGTGGCGTGGATGTGCACAGCACTGCATAGAATCATAGAATCTGGAATGGTTTGGGTTGGAAGGGGCCTTAAAGCTTATCCAGCTCCAATACCTGCCATGGACAGGGACACCTTCCCCTAGAGCAGGGTGCTCCAACCCCTGTGTCCAACCTGGCCTTGAGCACTGCCAGGGATGGGGCAGCCACAGCTGCACAAGGAGTGATGGGGAGGAGATGCTCCAGCCATGGAGATGCTCACTCCCATTCACTTGCTAAGGGCAGTGAGAAAGGGAACGTTGAGAGTTCAGGTGGCAATGCAGTGTGCAGAGCTCCAGTGCCTGCTCTGCCTGGGCTTGCTTAAAAAGAGCCCAAAACTTTCCATGGGAAGTGGGCACTTCTGACTAACCATGGATTGAGTTGCTGGTGTGACAGTGGCGGTACCGGTGCCACCAGTTCGTACCACACTGGGACTTGTGGGTCCCTGTGTGTGGTGGATTCTGATGGTGCCTGGGCATTGTTTTTCCTCTGTAACCAACCTCCAGACCACAGTGTGAGCGAGCACATTCAGTTCTCCCTTCCCTTCCCTTGCATGCTCCTTGTCCATCCTTCCTTGCCTCCCTCCCCAGCCCCTGGATCCACAGCATCCCAGGGAATGTGAGGGGTCTTCTGGGACTTGATAAGGGGTTGCAAGGTGATGTTCAGATGGAAGCCCCTGTCTGGGGGTTTGATGTCCTGCATGGTCCAAAGGGACCATCACCTCCCTAAGTTAGCAGTGATTTGGTCTGATTCACACTGGCAATTCCTCTGTGCCTCCGTTTCAGGGGACTGGTGGAGAGGAGGAGTGGGAGCTCCATGTTTGAAACTCCGGCTCCCTACGGACCTCATTGAGCTTTATTCCCTCCCCTGCCTGCAACTCTCCTGTGCATCCAGAGGAGCATGAGCTGCTTTGGTGTGTGTGGCCCTGGGTTTGCACATGGAAAAGCCGAGTAAATATATGACATTGCTGGGGAAACTTCAGAGAGAATTGGCCACAGCTTCTCCCACCTTCCCCTCCCTGGGGTTCCTGAGCATCCCTCAGGAGAAGCTTGCAGGATTCTCTCCACCCACACTTTCTTCCCTACTTTAAGCTCTTCCCACCCTTTCCCTGCAGTAATTCCCCCTCCTCCCTCCCAGCTGAACCCCATCCCCTTCCCAAACTCCCGGTGACCTCGCTGGGACGGGGCTTGGGGCCGGGATGCTCCTGCAGCCCTGCGGTGTGGTGGGAAGGCTCCGGCTGTGACTCAGCTCGCGCTCTTCAGGAACAGGATTTCAAGGGATTTCACACCCCAAACACAGCCCCAGCTTTCTCTCGCTCAGCAGAAACGAGCGAGCAGGGAAGGAACGCACCAGTTCTGGATCGCTTCGGTGCAGCAGGAGCGGGGGTAACCGGTAACCCATGGCGGTGAACGGCACCGACCCATCGCTCCCCAACGTGTTTGCTTCGTCCCCATCACATCTCCTAAGCAGAATAACCCCCCCAGCAGCTCTTAGTGTTCAAAGCACGCAGTTGTTGCTGTGTCCCCCCTGTTTTGCAGGCTGGGCCTCGTGGGGAGGCAAGAAATCTTGGTGGCAACAGTTTGCTGTGGGGTTGTAATGCATGGGCTGCAAAGCTCGGAGATGATCCATACCTCTCATCTTTTGTTCCTGCTTATGCATTTAATCCCCCCCCAGCACCATATTAAAAGGCAAAGATTCAGAAATGAGGAAAGATTATCTCAAATTGTGAACTAGAACAGCAAAATATATAATTGCTGAATAGACATCACTTGCACAGGGTTGTTTTGTAGAGGTTTCACCCAGACAGCCATAATTAGCCAAGTGGCATCACGATGCTAATAGAGATATTTACTGCTTCAGAGTGGAGTTGCAGCCTTGCGAAGCACTCCGGTGACTCTCTTTTGTTCTGGAAGGTAGTAGCCGGGATTGGTTTATTCCTTCCCCTTTGTGGTGCAGTGGAGATCGGGGATGGGATGGGATGGGATGGGATGGGATGGGATGGGATGGGATGGGATGGGATGGGATGGGATGGGATGGGATGGGATGGGATGGGATGGGATGGGATGTGCTCCCCACTGTGTGCCCATTAGCTGCTGCCTGCTTTGCCTATGCCCCTGGTTTAGTACTGGTATTGTTTTGATTTAACGCATCTAGCCAGTGGATGCTGGCCACCCAAGGGCAAGGGGAAGGTTATGCACAGGCAATGCTTTAATCGCCCTTTTAACTGTGCTTTCCCACTAGGAACCAGCCTAGATCCAACCTGGATCCTGTGCTTGCTGGAGAGGCTCAGCAGCTGCTGTGGCTTCTCATAGAATCATGGAGTGGTTTGGGTTGGAAGGGAGCTTAAAGCTCCTCCAGTTCCAATGGCAGGGACCCCTTCCACTGGAGCAGCTTGCTCCAAGCCCTGTGTCCAACCTGGATTGAGCACTGCCAGGGATGGGGCAGCCACAGCTTCTCTGGGGACCCCATGCCAGTGCCTCAGCACCCTCACAGTGAGCCCTGGGTCATGGCTGCATTGGGTAAAGAGCACATCTCATCCTGCCACTGAGACAGAGCGATGCCATCACCTCCAAACCCGCGGCGTGCGCCGGAGCCAGGCAGGGAAGCGCCTCCTTGGGGTTTATATTTGACCCATGCAGGAAAACACAGCGAAAAAACCTTTGTGTTTTCACTTTCTTCCTGTAAGGCGCCGCACCCGCGGCTATTGGCAGGGTAATTACACAGCAGGCAGGGGTTGGCTAGGAGAGGAGTGTGATTCACAGAGCTGGAAAGGGTTAAACAGCCCCAAATTACATCGCTCCCACCGGAGCACCATAAACAGGAAGTTCTCTATTGCTGGTGACTCAGGTTGGCTCCTGCTCCCCGAGCCCTGCACCAGGCCCTAATTACACCCTTGGGTTGGAAGCAGTGGCCAGCTCGGGTGATGCGGGGCTTGTTTTGCCCATGGGGATGTGGTGTCGCTGCTCGCTTTCTCCCATAGAACCCCAGGCTGGTTTGGGTTGAAGGGAGCTTAAAGCTCCTCCAGCTCCAGCCCCTGCCACTGGAGCAGCTTGCTCCAAGCCCCTGTGTCCACCCTGCCCTTGAACGTGGCTTTGGGGAGGAGTGTGAGAGTTTGGACTGGTCCAAGCAGGGGCTCGGCATCATCCCAAGAGGGGCTGGTGTGGATTTGGGATGCGATGCTGATGCCACTGAGCTATAGGTGTGCTCTGGGTGAGGCATCTCTGGGAAAAGATGCTTGCACTTCATTGCAAGCCCCGTTTTCTCTTGAGTTAAAGCACTGCGATGCAGAGACCATGAGGAGGTTTTGGGGAGATGCTTCCACAGAGCAGCACCTCTTTAACTTAATGAAACACACTGGAAACAGCCGCTGAGTTCCTGGCTCTTGGTTATCCTGGGAGCTGAAAGGGACATGGTTATTTTCCGGAGGGGGTTTATGCTGAGCACGCTTCACCTCGGAGCTCCCTCACGTGGGGAAGCTCATCCAGGTAACCCAGATTTCCTGGGAACCATCCTGAAGGGTTTAAGGATGAAGGAGCTGTTGTGCTGCAGGTGAGCTGCTGCTCCGGTTGCTCCGGCACGGCACAGGGATGCTTGGGAGCAGCTCCAGACACTTTATTTGCTGTTGCTTTATTTAATATCCTCTTTCTGGATATTTACAGGGCTTATTTGTTTATTTATTTCCCTTTTGGGTTTGATTTGAAACGTGTTCTTCAATCGGAATGCTGGAGCATCCATTGTGTTCCCACCCATTGCATTCCCACCCATTGCGTTTCCATCCTTTCAAGGCCAGGTTGGACAGGGCTTGGAGCAGCCTGGTCCCTGCCTGTAGCAAGGGGTTGGAAGTGGATGAGCTTTAAGGTCCCTTCATCCCAAGCCGTTGTGGGGTTCTGTGATTTATTTGCCTGGTGGGTGGGGAAGGGGGTTTCAGATGCAGGTGCTGACCTCAGTGGGGACATTAAACAGGGGAAGTTTAGATTGGATCTAAGGAGGAAATTCTTTCCTGTGAGGGTGCTGAGGCACTGGAATGGGTGCCCAGGGAGGTTGTGAATGCTCCATCCCTGGCAGTGTTCAAGGCCAGGTTGGACAGAGCCTTGGGTGCCATGGTTTAGTGTGAGGTGTCCCTGCCCATGGCAGGGGGTTGGAACTGGATGATCTTAAGGTCCTTTCCAACCCAAACCATTCTATGATTCTATCGGCCCTTGGAGCAGGAGCACTGCATAGACTGAGGTGTTGCTGCCCCAGGACAAGCCCTGCTCACCCCAAACCCCACCTCGGGGGCTGAGACCCACAGGGCTGGGCTGTCTGCAACCAGCAGCACTTGCTTCATCCCTTCCCTCTCCTCTCTTTTCCAGGATACCGTTCAAGATCGGGCAGCCCAAGAAACAGATTGTACCCAAGACAGTGAGTAAACCAGATCCCCCTTTTTAGCTCCAGCCTTTGATCATGTGGCTGATGAGTCAAGGCAGCACTTTGACTCGTCCCATTTCGCAGCGTGTCGTGGGAGGGAGCTGGGAGCAGCAGAACCTGTTGCTGCGTGTGACCAGCGCTCGGCTCCTCGTGCGTGCGGGGAGTGAGGGGGAGCCCGAGCAGGGGCCAACGTTTCCCTGTGGGAGCTGTGCCTTGCTGATGTCGTTCCTGGGTTTTGGGGAGTTGGGGGGGGGATGAAGGGGAAGAGCTCCTCTGGTCTGGCACCGTTCTCCTTGGAGATGGCTGAGCGGGCTTCCTTCCTTCCTTCCTTCTTGCAGCAATGGCTTGTTTGTTCATCCTTTCGGAGCAGATGGAGGAGGAGGAGTGGTTCAGATCGCTGAATATAACTGTTTCCAAAGAAAGGCTCATAAGCTGAGATGCTCAGTGCTCGGGCGTGAATTAATTTGTGCTGCACAGCATTTGCTTTAAAAGCGCCTGAAAACCGCATTTTGTGTTCGGGTGGGTTTGAGGCTCCCAGCCCCGCGCTGCTGCTCGCAGCTGCATGGGGGTATTTTCCCTTCGGAAGCAGATTGCCTTTGCACTTGTCCCGGGTGAAGTGAAAGCTGTGGGACCTCAGGGGAGCTCTCCCTGAAGCCAAAGCTGCCTTTGGAGCGCCCTGACAGGGAGCAGCTTGTCTTCACACCAGGGCTGGTGGCCTAATCCCATGAGCAGGCTGACATCCCCAGTCCTGCTCTCCAGGCTGCTCATTGCAGCTCATTCCCTGGGGATGAACTCGTGTTCATGGGGCAGCTTCTCAGGACAGGACATTTCCCCCTGGAGGCCCAGGCCTGGTCCTGCTCTCCCTGGGCACCTCACTTCATTGGATGCTGGAGAGCTGCAGGCTGTCAGTGGGAGACCTGAGCCAGGCAGGCAATGGGGACAGGCACTGGTGACATTCCTCAGTGGCTTTTGCATCCCAGGAGCTGCCGATGGTGCTGCTCTGTGTTGTCCCCTGGCCTCACACCCATTCCAGTGTCCTCAGTGCCTTCCTCCATGGGATTTTGCCTCTCGTCTTCATTCCAACACCAGTGTCCTTCCAGGCTGTTCCATGAACCAGCGGCTCTGGGTGACTTGGACATCTCCATCCCACCCATTCTCACATCCAAGCTGACTTTTTCTCTCCCTTGCCAGTGCTGATTTCCCTCTGCTCCTGCTGCATTTGCTGTTGCAGAAGGTTCCTGTGAGGGACTCGGTCTCCCCTGTGCTCTGTTGCTGCTGCAGTCAGCGCTCCCTGAGCTGCAGCAGGAGCTTGGGCTCCCTGCAGTTGAATGGTGGCACCTTTGAGAGCTGCTGGGATGTGCTGTTCTGAGGCACTGCCTATAGATATAGGTACATGGGGAGGGTTAAATAGAGCAGCTTGGAATACCCAGGAGCCAGAGGTTCATTCAGCAGCACGAGTGCTTCAGGCCTTTTCTCCTTCCTTCTTCCCTGCTTCCCTCCCTCTTTCCTTCCTTCCCCTTCTCCCTCTGCTCCCCAGGACCAAGCGTTTCCCAGCGCCTCGGTAGCTCAGGTTTGATGCTCTCTTTCAAGGGGCCCCGCTTGCCCTGCATTGATGCTCCCCAGGCAGTGGATAATGTGGAAAGCAGAAGGCAGGAAGCCCGCAGCTCCGCAGCCTCACAGCGAGCGTCAAGTGCAGCTCTTCAAAGAGCAAGCATCAGGAAACCAGCGCTATCCCCTGGGAGCGAGGCTCAGCCGTGGGGTGGGAGCCGTGGGGCTGGGGCGAGCTCCAGGCCCCCAGCTTTACCTCCCAGTTGCAGGCTCCATCTGTGCGGGCTTCAGGGAGCGGCGGCAGCAGCCAAGGCCTGTGAGATTCCAGATGTTGGGCTCGGGAGCCTGCTGCAGGAAGTGGGAAGGTGCGGCATCTCCAGGGCTGCATCCCAAGCCCATCCGAAGGGGAAGTGGTTGCGGGCAGAGGATCTCCCACTCGCCGAGATGGGACCACAAAAGAGAAGGGAGAAGGGGAAAGGCAAGAAGGCGTTTGTTAGGATGGGGCTGGTCTGGCTCTCCATGGGGCACGGAACTGGAGTGCAGGAGAGGGGCTGTGCTCGCCAAGGAGCCTTTTGTCTCTCGTTGGTGAAGCGATGCTGGGGCTGGTGTCAGCTCCAGAGCAGCGCTGGTCCTGAGCAGCAATCTGCCTGGGCTGCATTAGTCATGACTCCCTGTGCCCACTCGCTTCTGATCCTCTGGAGCAGGGCATGGTGTCAGCCGCCGTTCGCCTCTGCAGCCGCAAGGAAACCCCCATAGGAAACAGTGGCTGATGAACTGAAGTGATCCCCCCCCGCCCCAGCCGTGCCTCTGCTTTGTGTCCACCTTAACCTGGGCAAATCCAATTCCAGACAACATAATCTCTCCCCTCCTCATCCCTGAAAAGAGCATCTGTCACCGGGCTGGCGGAGAGGCCGGGTGGGAGGATCCAGTGCTCAGAGAGGAGCTCACGGCCACGGAGCGCCCAGCAGCGCAGCCCGGTTCAACTGGTGCCCAGTGATAGGAGTTACAGCTGTTGGGGTTCAGCTCCCCATATGATGGTTCCTGCTCAGACCCGCCGCAGCGATGGAGCCTCTCACAGCAGAGATGTCCTTCCCCCCGGCATGAGTGCAGTCTGAGCACCGGTTGCGTTGGAGCCGGAGCTGTGGTTGTCTTCCCTGTGCTCTCCTAGCTCTGTCTCATTGAAGTTCATCCGTGTCCCCTGAGGCTGTCCCCTGCTCCTCACCAGCGCTCGGGTTTATCCAGACAGGCAGGGAGAGCATCCCTGTATCCCTATGGGGCACGGAGCCGTGGTCGGGAGAGACAGCGGCTCCCGGGATGGGGCAGTCCCTCCCCATCAGCCAGGTTCTGCTCCTTCCTCCCTGCCTCTGGCCCGGCTGACTCACATGGTTCACCCTCCTCCTCCTCCTCACTGCCTGACCTGGGCTGAGTCAGCTTGGCAGGGAGCAGGGACCTGAGCTGGGAGCCTGCTCCTGCCAAGCCTCCCTTCCTTGACTCATCCCAGCAGCTCGGCCTTCCCCAGGGATGGATGGAGGAGCTCCGGGAGCAGGATTCCGGCCCTCAGCGCCTTTCCGTTGGGCTCCACCAGCGAGCTGGAACGCTCGGAATCACGGAGGAGATGTGGCAGGAACGGGGGGTGAGGCCGGTTACAAGCAGGGCTGCTCGCTTCCACCCTTCCCTCCATCTTCACTGGGACATAGCCGGTCTCTGTGCGTCGGAGGCGCATCCTTCTTCCCTTTCATTGTGCCTTTCCTGCAGTCCCTGGGGAGGATTGGGGTTGCTGGCTGGGTGCTGAAGCCTACAGAGCCCCTGCTTCACCCTCGCTTTGCAGCATTCCTTTGGCTCAGGTCGCTGCTGCTGGATGCAGAGCAAACATTCCCCCACATTGCTTGCCTTCAATCTCCTCCTGCTTGATGGGGTGGCAGAGGTCAGCAGCAGTTCCAGGTTAGAGCAGGATTTCTGGCCTGATTATATGGGTGTCTCTGTTGTGGAGAGGAGGGAGGAGGAATAATGTGCTTCCCTCTTCTTCCCAAGACCCACGAACAGGCTGGGACCACTGGAACATGCAGGAATCAGCTACTTCTCCTCCTCCAAGAACAGGAATGAACCTCAGGGGAGTAAGGAGGTTCATCACAGTCCCTTATTTCCATCTCTTTATAGTATTGGCTTCGGTCTCGCTTCGTTGCCTTGTAACCATGGTGTCGATTATGCTATTGCCCTTAAAGCAGGAGGGATGCTACTGGAGGTGGAAGGCCCGGTGTTTGCAAACAGAAATAACTGGGTGAAAAGGAGGAACGTGGCTCGGTTTCAGTGCTTTAAGAGCTCCTCGTTCTGTATGTCGATGTAAATGAGAACCCGGGGAGCTCCTGCATCACCCAGCCCCGGTGCCTCGGAGCAGAACCCTTCCATCCAGCACCACGGTTCTGCTTTGGAGCTGTCAGAAGGAGGCTGCAGAAAGTGGGGTTATTTGAATAGTACGGAAGCTTCCCTGCAGGATATTGTAATTTTCGTGCCTGTACTTCTTGTTCTCGTTACTTTAACGTGATAATCTCCTCCGTAGCCTTTCGCTGGCAGTGTCGGGGACGTGTGGCTATTGCTGATAGCTGCTGGGAGCGGAATTACTGGGGGCTCTGCTGAATGTACTTGCCTTGCTCTCAGCTTGTCCGCCTCGGATGCGCTGGGTGCAGCGTGGTGGGAGCACGCTTCGAGCTGCCTGGTGCATGGGGACCCTGCTCCTCGCTGCCGGGGTGCTGGGGCACCGGTGATGCAGATGGGAGCGGTGATGCCTGGGGGGGGGCTGCCCCAGCTCTCAGAGCATGGGGACTGGTAACCAGTTGCTGCTGTGGGCGTGAAAGAGGAGAGCAGTCCTGGGGCAGCTGTCTCTGCACTGATGGCACTGGAGACGTGAGGCAGGCCGGGCAGCTGAAGCCTCTTCACCTCTGTCATATGGAGAACGCATGTGGGCAAATGGTGTTTTGGGGGATGCTTGGAATGGTTTGGGTTAAAGGGACCTTAAAGCTCACCCAGTTCCAACCCCTGCTATGAGCAGGGACCCCTTCCATTAGAGCAGCTTGCTCCAAGCCCCTGTGTCAAACCTGGCCTTGAACACAGCCAGGGATGGGGCATCACCAGGGAGCGGAAGCTTTGCCTGCCTTCCATTAGGCAGTGATGGTTTTTGCTCATCCCCACTCATTCCATAGCCATGGGGGCATCTACCAGCACAGAGGAAGGGGCAGAGGCTCTGAGCCTTCACAGGCAGTTTAATTTCATGGCCAAGCCCTTCAGGTCTTGCAGGGACCAGGAGAGGGCTGGAGCTCGGCACCACCAGGCTCCAAAGCACAGATCCTTGCTCTGTGGTTTGCAACCAAACCAATTCCCACCTCAGGCCTGTGAACAGAGCATGATATCCCCGGGATGCTGGTGGAGCCGGAACACCCATGGCTGTGAGGGTGGGTTTGCTCCGGGCTGGGTACCAGACCCCCAGGCCCCAGCTGCAGCGGATGCTGCACCGCCGTGGATGCTGCACCGCCGTGGATGCTGCACCGCCGTGGATGCTGCACCGCCATGGATGCTGCACCACCATGGATGCTGCACTGCTGCATGGGGCGGTGCTCCACCAGCACCATCTTCAGCAGCACCACAGGGAACTGGGGCCCCATGGAGGCAGCGTGCGGCCCGCTGATGGTGGGAGCGATGGGGAGAGCCGGCCTTAGGGATGCGGCTGGAGCACCCGCAGCTTCCCATTGCGCTGCGGAGCTCAGGGTGCCGGAGAGCACAGCCCAAGGGGTGCTTAGAAAAGGAGGGTTTGAGGGCCCTGGGGGTGCTGGGCTCCATCTTAAAGCACTGAGTCTTTTAATAGCAGTTGTGATTGAAAGCAAAGTCCCTTTGTGGTGCTCTGCTTTCACGTGGCTGGGTTTGAAATCCCGAGGACAGCCTGAGGCTCTGGGACAAACCTTTGGATCCTTCCCATCCTGGTAGCGTTTCCTTAATAGCACGGGAGCCTGACAACACGAACGAGCCCGGTTTTGATCCCATGACAACAAAAGCGCACGTATTTACTCTTGGCTGGTCAATTGAGATCCATTTGCCTGTTTGGTTGACGAGGTGTGGAGTGAACGTTCGAGCGTGTGTTAAAACAGGCAGCATGGAAAGAAAGCTCCTTAAAATATCCTGTATCACTGGAGATGTGCTGCCAGATAGCAAGTAGGAGGAAGCAGTCATTGATGGAGCATCGGGAGGAGGCTGTTCTTTAGCTCGTTGCCAGCACAGGTTTCTCCTCCCTTTGCAAGGTGTTGCAGACACTTGGGCTGCTCCACCTGAAGTGCTTCATCAGAGGGAGCTGTTGCAGGGATGGGGAGCATGGGGAGAGGGCAAATAATGCAGAGATGGGAGGGCTTGGGGGTGGTTTGGGAGGGGAAAACCCATCCCATTGAGGCTGGGGATGGAGGGAGAGGCTGGGTTGGGGTCCTTTGCTGGGTGCTGCTGCTGGAGTGGCTCTCACAGCATCAGGGCTCATCCCCACCAGCACTGCGCTGAGCTGTGGGCACCGAGCTGCCATCTCTCTGCTTTTAAGGCATTCCCATTTACTGCCAGCCTCCAATTCATGTGCTGGAATGAGCTGGCGCCGTCCCTGGCAGCATCCTGTGCTCCGAGAGAGTCTGGAGGGAAGAACCCCCCCCAAGGCCTCATTCCTGAAGCGTAACTCCCATTAGTGCTGCAGCTCCCCAGGGTTCACAGGGCATTTCCTCGGGCCGGGTTGCCCAGTGCAGGTTGTTCCCACTCCAGTGCAGCGTTTGAGCTGGTTTCATCTCTTCTTCCCGCAGGTGGAGAGAGACTTTGAAAGGGAATATGGCAAGCTCCAGCAGTGAGTATCAACCGCGCTGGTAGAACAGGACCAGTCACATACTTCCCTTGTGTGCTCCTATTGCATCTTCCCAGGGGATTTTGGCCACTTGTGCTCTTCCCAGCAAATCACTGCTGGGCATTTCAGAGGCTTCAGGGTTTCCCCTGTGGCTCCTGTGTTCAGAGTGTCCTGAGAAGCACTTGCAGGGGGTTGAGCTTTGCCCATTGTGGCACCTCCAAAGAGTTGCCAGAAAACCGGGGGGTCACCAGACAGCCCCGAGGACCAGCACCGGTGTCCCCATCCCGGCTGTGTCCCCTAAGCTCCCCCCTATCATCTGGAAGCATTTGGCTTCTCCATTTGTGGTGGTGCGAGGGCTTCACAAAGCAGTGACTTTGAGCAAGAGATCCCCAGCTTGGAAAGGTTGTGGAGCATCTGCAAACAAGCGGGAAGGGTTGAGCAGCACTGAAGTGCACAGAGCCTCGCCGGGGTATTTTTAACTGCCAACAGAAGCCAGCATATCCAACCCGTAAATGATTTGTTGCACGTATGATGCACTCGGGTTTCTTTCTTTCCAAGATTCACTTTGCCTTCTCCCATCTTTCAGATTGGAAGATCAGACCAAAAAGCTTCAGAAGGATATGAAGAAAAGCACAGATGCAGACTTGGGTATGTGACTGTAGGATACATAGACTGTGAACTTGGCCACAAGGAGATGAAGTGACTTTCTCAAGATCACATGAGTAATCTGTGACAAGTCTGGAAAACAAATCTAGATCTCAGTCCCACTCAGTTTGCTTAGTTACAAGGCCATCTGCATGAGCAGCATCTCAACCAAGGGAACAGAAAGGCTGTTATGGGCTCGGTCCCCGTCTCCTGAGCTGCAGCGTGCTGGGTGGCCTTGGACCAGCCACTTTGCTTCCCTTTGCCTCAGTGTCTGCAGCTGCAGGACTCGGAGCTATTGTTCCAGCTCTCAGGTTAGCCCAGCAGGAGCAGCCTCCAGCTGAGCCCCTTGTGTGTGTGCATCACCTGCTTCACTGAGGGCATCTTCTGCTCTCTGAAGCCAAAGGAAGGTGGGATGAGGCCCTGGGGGTCTGCAGAGCATCCCATGGGCATCCCTGTGCGTGTTCCACGTGTGCTGCAGCCCCAGCCGCTCTCAGGCAGGACTCACCCTGCTCTCCCCTTGCTGCTGCCTGCTCTGCCTTGACCCGGTGGCAGTGCAATAAACACGTTCCCTGTGCAGGTACCACCCCACAGCAGCCTGCCCAGGGAGCCGGTGGGACCGCGCCACGTGGCGCTGGCTTTAACTGGTGATGGCAGAGAGGAGATGGAGCAGGGAGCAGGGGATCTGCTGGGTGCTGGTGGTTGCACCAGGCAGGGCAGCGTGCAGAAACACGCAGCAAAGAGCTGCTTTAAACACAGATGGCTCTTCCCAGCGTGTGCTTGGAGTAGTCCCTCCTTGCACCAAGCCCCCACAGCTCCAAAGCCAAGGCAGATGCACCAGTGCAAGCAGGGGTGGGCAGCACTGGCCTGTGGGTTAATGTGGGTAACAGGAATGGGAAGGAGCCCTAGTGAGAGGGGTGGCAAATGGGGCTTCCCATGATCCAGGCTCTCACCTGTGTGTGTGTTATCGGGTATTGCCAGACATCAGCACGGATCCAGGCTCTTGCCCACACTCTCCCCCCATCCCAGCACAACGACTGTGTTCCCATGGGGAGAGCGGTGGGAAAGGCACCGGGAACGGCGCTGCCAGGCCTCCTTTCCAGGGTGAAAAGTGCCCTTTCTGGTCACTGTCAGGGCTCCGTGGTCAGATTTTCCTTGTGCAGGATTCCCCTCCCCTCCCTTGCAGTGGGCGTTGTTTATATGGAGCATTTCAAGCCCCAGAGGAGCTGTGGGAGGACTTTCTTTTTCCGTTCTGCTCCATGGCAGAGTCACAAACTGAGCCGTGGCCAGGGCCTGGGAGCTGATTCCTCATTTAAAGCCATGGAACCAGGGGCGTGAAGGGAGGATTTGGAGCAGGGGCTGGGGAGGGCTGAAGGAGGTGGAGGTCTGATGGAGCACTGCTCCCCTGGCAGTGCCCATTCCCAAGAGGGGATGGCAGCATCCAGCCCCCCGGTCCCACAAGGGCAGCATTGTGTCCTCAGGAGGGTCTTGCTCCTTCCACTGCAGCCCTGTGCCGAGGGGTGATTGGTCACTGCCCCTCTTTCCAAGCAGATGGGATGGTGAGGAGCAGGAGGATGTTCTGTACGTGGAGACAAAAGCTCTCCTCTTGGAACGGGAACCAGGGAACCCTCCCAAGGGGCAGGCGATGCGATGCGAGCCTCCCCTGCCTCCTGTCTCCCCCGGTGGCTGGGGCACCAGTTGGGTTTGAAGAGGGGGTCACCTCTTTGTGCTTCCAGTCCTCTCCTTGCGAAGGAAACTCATTTTCCTCGCAGCTGAAGCAGTTCTGCCGCCCTTAACCCCATCCCGTTCTGGCACAAATCCTTCCTCAGATGTGGTCACACATATGGATTATATCCCATCTGTTTAAGGGTTTAAATGCCTAAACCCTTAATGTTTGGATAATAGACGGATACGGTAGCTTTGTTATCCCACAGTTAGCATCTCGTTCTGCATTGAGTTTCCCAGCTCTTCAGCTTCTGAGCTCTCTATAATTGTGTGTAACCTTTCAGTGGGAATGGTTAACTCCTTGATTTATGATCTTAAGCCCCATTATTGAGAGGGCTTTAACTCCCAGTATCTGAGCGAGTGCAGCAGGAGCTGCCCAAAGCCCCTCTGTGGCACTGCTCAAGCATCTGCCTTCCGAGCTGAAGCAAGTGCTGATGGAAAAGGTGGATTTTTAGTGCTCGTGGCGTTTTCTTCATTACTCCCATTCCTGTCAATGCCTTTTGGTGCCTTTGTCTGGTTTCCATTCTGCACCTTCGCTGCTCTCTTGCTCCTATAGAGCGGTCCTGTGGGCGGGATTGAGTTTGCCCATTGGAGTCGGGATAGGGAGAGATGTGTCCGATGGAAAACAAGCACAAGTGCTCGACAAGGCAGGAGCTGGGGCCTGCTAGAGTGTGACTGGGGGGGGGTTTGGGTTTCTTGAGGCCACATCAGGCCCTGCAGAGACTTTACATTTCCCCTTGGTCCATGGGGTTGCTCCCTGGAGCACAAGATGCAGTTCAGTGATGGACGGTGCTCAGGCAGCTGTGTCAATGATGCTCGTGTCCAGGCTGTTTCAGGAGTAAAAACAGAAACCTTGTCTTCCAGTGCTGTCATTGTGGTCCTTTCCCAGCACTAACTCCACTTTAAATAGGTGTATTTCTGTAAAGCCATTTGAAAGACTTAATGGGCTGTGATTTTCCTCACTGCGGAAGAGCTGCAGTGAGCCTGAGAGTGACACTTAATAGTCTGTTGAGAAAAGGTGCATTAAAAAAGCCATCTACGTGTTGCTGAGAGGAGAGGGCTTTCAGAAGCCTGGGGTCATCTCCTGGCCCCATCACAAGCCGTACCCCGGAGCGGTTCAGGCTTGGCTCTGTACAAGCAGCTCGGGGGGGGTTATGTGGATGCAGTGGTGGCTCCTCCTTTCCCTTCTCTCAGCCAGCAGGGAGGTTGTGCTGGAGCCCAGCTCGGTGGCTCAGGTCCCTGGTTTTGGTCACCCCTTACAGGGGCAGTGCTGGCACACAGCATCCCAGGAGGGTTTGTGTTGGGAAGGGCCTTAAAGCTCATCCGGTTCCAGCCCCCTTTACAAAGCAGTGACCCTCTCCTCTCTTTGCCTCTCCTGCTGCCCGCAGCCATGTCCAAGTCAGCTGTGAAGATCTCCTCGGACCTGCTCTCCAACCCCCTGTGTGAGCAGGAGCCCAGCTTCCTGGAGATGGTCACCGCCTTCGACACAGCGATGAAGAGGATGGACTCCTTCAACCAGGAGAAGGTGAGTGTGGGTTGGGAGAGCAGGGGTGCTGCGGTGCTGTTGGTATCTCCCCCTTCTTTGTGTCATCCTCTCCAGGATGCTTCCCATGGGAGTTTCTCTTTAATCTCACTCTCCTGGCTCTTTTTGAACTGGGAATTTCAGCTCATCCCGAGCCCATGGGAGAAGTTGTCTGGTTTTTGGTTCAAGGGCACTGTGGTTGCACTCAGAAGCCCACATAGGGCAGGCACTGTGCGAACATGTATTGCTGTGCACACAGGCTGCTTCAACAAGCCTGACATGTAATTTGCTTTCAACAGGTGAATCAGATCCAAAAGACAGTCATAGAGCCTTTGAAAAAGTAAGTACCGACGTTGTCCTGTGAGCCACGTTGTGTTTGTCACCCCGTGTTCTGCAGGGATGCGATCACCGAAGGAGGTGTTGGCAGGTTAGAAACGAGCCCTTCCTAAAGATGGACTAGTTCACAATCCTGGGGCAGAGCAGCATCTCCTTGTCCTGCAGCTGGGGCATGGAGGGCTCTGGTGGGTTGGCTGAGTCCATACTCCTGCTCTGTAGAAAGGGGGAAGGCCTCTTGCATCTGAGCCTGCTGGGTGCCTTCATCTGGACTTGAAAGGACACCTGAACGACTGGTACTGAATGCATTCAAGCATTCAGCATCTCTCCATTCCTGTGCTGGTGCTACCAGCACTGCTGAATGAGAGCCATCAACTGGGGAGCTCTGCTGGGGCCCAAAGCTTCCTCCCTATGGAATGTTCTTAAGAAGCCGAAGCTTGCTCTTGGTGAGAGCTCTTCCATGTCCATGAATAGCATCTCCATGCAGGGGAGGGAGAGATGTTAGAGCTGGTGCAGGCGGGCAGGACGGGTTTGGAGGGGGAGCCCCGCATCTCACCCATCACAGGAGTGTGCCAGGGTCAGCCTGGCCCCAAGCTTGGCCATAAACCGCCCCAGGGAGCAGAGCTGGAGTGCTGACAGCATTGCCCTGGTGGCAGGTTCCATGAGCCCCCGTTGTGCTCTGACCTGGTGCAGTTCCCTTCTCCCTGCCCCATTCCCACCGGCCTTAGGAGCAGTTCCCAGTGCAGGGGCTGCACCCTGGAGCACTGATGGAGCGCTGCCGTTGCGGTGCTGCAACCCTCAGATCCGCTGTTGTGGTACGAGGAGAGCGAGCGAGAATCAACTCAAATGACTTTAATATGACAGTAAGTGGTGCAGATTGCTGAGTACCAATTTGAGCTCGGCTTTGACACAGCCGGGGTGCCTGGGTTGCTTGTTTGCTTCTTGTTTGTGCCCAAACCTGAAGGGAAGAGCTCACCTAGCGCTCAGTGCACGAGGTTGCGGTGTGCTGCTAGCGGGGGGATGCTTGGGTGACTCAAGTCTTGTCTCTCCACGACCAGAAATGCTTCATTTAGGGGGGGAAAAGACAGAAAGAAACTAAGAAAAGAAGAAAAAAGGCAGGCTTGTGCTGTGGAATTGTGTTGCTTATTATCGAGATTGTCCTCATGAAAGATACATTAACTGCTTCTTCCAGCATTCTGTTCAAATTGGAAGAAGGGCTTGTGTCTCTGAAATGTTCCTGTTGTTTTTTTCCTCCCCAACTTGTGTTAGTTGATGCAATGAAGGATAATACCTCTCCCTGCAAAGCCTGCCTTCTGCTCTGAACTTAATTCAAGGCAATAAAGCCATTTCCACGTTGCTGATGTCTTACCCTGCCTTTGTGCAGCTTTTGGCTCGTGATGCTCTAGATGGAGATGGTGGAGAAGGGGGTTGAGGCAGCGATGCAAGATCGATCCCAGCCTGGTTTGGGTTGGAAGGGACCTTAAAGCTCACCCAGTTCAACCCCTGCCATGGGCAGAAAGCATGTAAAGCATGTAAAGGAAAGCCATGGGCAGGGGCACCTTCCACTAGAGCAGGGCTGGGAGGTTTCACCTCACAAGGTGATGCTCATCTCCCCACTGATGCGTTGGTGCTTGATGAAGCATCAGGATGTGCCCCTCAGCACCCGGCCTCCTCCCAGTGTCCCCAGTTCTCTCCAGCCTCCCAAACTGGGACTCACTCCTGGTATTTTCTCCCTTCCTGCCCGTTGGCACCCGCAGGCAGTTGCTGTGTGCTCTTAAACAGCTTTGGTCTCATGCTCGGAGGGGCTGCACCTCCACGCTAAGGAAAACTCTCCCTTCCCTTCCCTTCCCTCTTTCCTCCTCCTTCCGAGCGTGCATGGAGGGGCTGTGGAGCCAGGAACGTTTCGGAGGAGCCCCAGGGTCCGTTTGGAGGCTAATGAGATGCAGGAGAGAAGTGCAGAGCTTGCGCCTCCCCTGTCCTGCTGCAGATAAACCCCAGCACCGCTGCTGGGATGGAAGTTCCACATTAAGGAAAGCTGCCTTGAGGAGCTGCTCTTATTCCCACTGAGGTATCGCTTCCCCTCGCCCAGCCTGGCCTCTCCCAAACTGGCTTTGACCTAGAAAAGAGGCTTTTGCTCCAGCAGCTGCACTTTATTACATCTTCACTGGTGGTCTCTTGTAGCTTTATTAGTCAGAGGAACAGATAAGTTTAATGCAGGCAATTATCATCAGTGTAATCAGAGGCACATGTGCCTTCGGATCTCCATTCAGCTGTCCAGGCCTGGTAGGATGCAGACAAACCCAGGCTTCTTTGTTGGAGCGTGTAAAGGAAAGCAGCAGTGGAGGGTGGAGGCGTGCATTGTTCCAGGCCTTTTCCTTGTGGGCACCCCGGGTTCTTCGGCTCTGAGCCCCAGGAAGCCTTTGTCTGGGAATCCCTTGTGTCAGTGCAGGGCAGGAGCAGAGCCCATTGCAGCGAGGGTTGGGCAAGGAGCTGGGGGAGGCCAGGAGGGGTCGATGCTTGATGGGGAGATGCTTGAATTCACTCCAGATCAGGGCACTTGGGGCAGAAGAGGGAGGAAAGCAGCTGGGTTTTATGAGACTCTTCCCATTCTTTACTGGGGCTTGGGTGAGCGATGAGGTGTTTCGGGTGGGACAGGGACTAGGGGTAGGCTGTGTGCTGTCATGGGATCATGGAATGATGAAATGGTTTGGGTTGGAAGGGACCTTAAAGCTCCTCCAGCTCCAACCCCAGCCACAGGCAGGGACCCCTTCCACTGGAGCAGCTTGCTCCAAGCCCCTGTGTCCAACCTGGCCTTGAGCACTGCCAGGGATGGGGCAGCCACAGCTTCTCTGGGCACCCTGTGCCAGCGCCTCAGCACCCTCACAGGGAAGAGCTTCTGCCTAAGAGCTCAGCTCAGTCTCCCCTCGGGCAGGTTCAAGCCATTCCCCTTGGCCTGTCCCTACAGGCCCTTGTCCCAAGCCCCTCTCCAGGTTTCCTGTAGCCCCTTTAGGCACTGGAGCTGCTCTAAGGTGCTGTGATTGGGATGTCGTGGTCAGGATGCTGTGATTGGGATGTCATGATTGGGATGCTGTCAGGGTGCCGTGATCGGGATGTCGTGATCGGGATGCTGTGATTGGGATGTAATGGTTGGGATGCTATGACTGGGATGTCATGGTCAGTATGCTGTGATCGGGATGTCATGGTTGGGATGCTGTGATTGGGACGTTGTGGTCGGGATGCCATGGTTGCCAATCCGCTCAGCTCGGAGCATGGTCCTGCTCCTGCAGCTGAAGCTCCAGGGCTGCTGCAGGACAAGGAGAGGCTTTGGCAGGGGTGGCAATGGGTGCTGCTGCCTGGGTGCCATCCCTTGGGGCTGGTGTTAGCCCCAGAGGTCCAGTCCCAGAGCTGTTCCCATAGAGCAGTGTCTACATTCCACTGGAGCCGTGTCAGGGACAGCAGCCGGTGCTTGGCGTGGGGTGGATGCCTCTGGAAGGGGCAGGGATGCCTGCAGGCCGGGGCAGGGGCTGGAACTGGATGGGCTTCAAGGTCCCTCCCAGCCCATTCCATGATGCTTCGATCCATGGAGCCGGAGTGGGGGTCAGCATCTTCCTCCCTTACCCTGCTGTTACCGTGCTCCCTCCCTGGCATCCCATTGCCGCCCGGAGCAGCCGCAGGGGAGCCGGGCCCGGAAGCAGGAAAAGCGGCTTTCATGTCCTTAACAAGCCCCTAATGAGGATTTGGTGCTCAGAGCTCCCCACATGGCCGCTGCCCCTCCCGCCGCCGCCTAATCCCAGCTCGCTGCTGCATCCCGGCCCCTTCGCTCCTGCCCCTCTGGTCCCCAGGAAGGGCTGGTTTCAATTTCCCCCTTCCTGGTGGGTGGACGGGCCCGGGCCCGGGACGGACGTGTGGGCACGGCTGAGGAATGGCAGGAATCCCCCAGCATAGCCCAGATGCTCCGGCCTCGGCCGGGCCGCCCTTGTGCCTCCCCAGGCTTCCTCCTCATTCCCTTCACCATCGCTTCCCTTTGCACCTCACGCTCCCCAGCTCTGTTGTTCCCTTTCATCCTTGTCCAAGGCCAGCCATAGATCCTGGCCGCTTCCTTTGGCTTCCATTATCCGAGCCATTATCCATAAGGAAGGGTGCACACACAGACCAGCCTAGTGCAGCTCATGGGGCTGCCAATGGGAGCGTTTGAGAGAGTGGAAACAGGGGGAAATAAAGGGTTTACCCTTTACTCTGGAGCCAGCTGAGGGAGCTGGGCTGGTTCTGGTGCCCAGAGGAGCAGTGGCTGCCCCGTCCCTGGCAGGTTGGACACAGGGGCTTGGAGCAAGCTGCTCCAGTGTTGGAAGGGGCTTGGAATTGGATGAGCTTTAAGGTCCCTTCCAACACAACCCATCCCGTGACCCCGTGATATTCCCTTGTGCCAAAGGCCTCGCTGGCGGCAGCCGCAGGGCGAGCATCAGGGATGGAGAGGAGGCAATGGGGGGTGAGCGGATGAGTGCGGGTGGGTTTCCAGCAGGGAACACACTGGGACAGCAAGGGGAGGTTGTGCTTTGTGCTCTGATCCCCACGTACCTCCCCTCACCTGCTCCCCTTAAGCCGCCTGTGCTGTAATCCCCTTCCCTAAAAAGTGACAGAGAGTGATGGCAGCTTATTGAGCAAGCTGCTTTCCGGGGGGGCGGCTCTAATGCCCTGTGCTGCTGCCTTTCCTTCCCTCCTGCCTGCTCTCAGCCCCGAGCCCATCACCGTGCCTTTAGGTCAGCTGCAGTTTGCTTTGCTGTGGAGGAACGGAGCGGGGATGCTGGGATTTTGGGTGGTTCCAGCCTCCAGTTCCCTATAAAAGCAGGGGCTGGGCGTATGGAGAGGATGGAGCTGGGTTCCTCACTGAATGCAGGGGGGTTCTTGGGGTGCTTTGCAACAGGAGGCATTGTCCCTGCTCCGTGTGCAGAGGGAAAGGATGGGGGAAACGAGGAGGGTTTGCTCATGAGGCTTCCCCTGCTCCTTCCCCAATGCCAGAGCCTGGGTTTCGCTGCTCAGACATCGCCTCCAGAGGGGCTGCTGCTGTCTGAGGGATGCTCACGGCACACTGATGGTCCTTGTCCCTTCTGTGCTGGCACCAAGGCTTCCAGGAGGGTTTGCCACACTCAACCAAGGGCTCTGGGAAACCTTTGGGGTCCTCACAAGCGGGGTTTGGAGGGTGAGGGATGCAGCAGCTCCTGGAGGCTCTGGAGCCGTTGGGGCAGGCGCTGCACGAGGAGCATTCGTAAATAACATGCATGAGATGCTTGTGGGCACGCTGGGGCTGCCGCGTGAAATGCGGCTCTTTATGAAGCCATCAGAATAGCTTGGCAGTGGCAGGAGCCAGGCCCTGGCTGTCGCCCTCCACGCGTGTTTGCCACCCCTGGCATTGCCTTGAGCTCCTATTTCTGGACACACAGGGTGAAAAACAAGGGCAGGATTCAGCAGGGGCCGGGAACGCCGCTCCCTGGGCTCCGGGGCAGTTTCAGAGGTGCTGGGAGGGATCCCGGCCTCAATCCGGATCAGTGCGGGAAGGAGCATCCTTCCCTGCGTGAGCTGAGCTCATCCGGGGTGCAGATCGAACCGGGGCACCATCGGTGGTGCCGAGGAGCGGGGCTGGTCCTGATGCTGCTGAAGGACAGAGACACCCTCAGGTGCCGTGTGGGGCTGGAATGGAGTCATGGAATGGTTTGGGATGAAGGGAGCTTACAGCTCACCCAGTTCCAATGGCAGGGACCCCTTCCACCAGGCCCCTGTGTCCAACCTGGCCTTGAGCAGTGCCAGGGATGGAGCAGCCACAGCTTCTCTGGGCACCTCAGCACCTACAGAGGGGACCCCTTCCCTTCCCCACAGAGCCCTCGCTGCCCATCCCAGTGTCCCTCAGCCCTCTCGCAGCGTATTTTTGGCCCTTACATAGAGGGAGGAGGTATTTGACAGCAGCCCCAGGAGCTGCTGAGTCCATGGGAGCCCAGCGCAGCCCGGACGTGCATGGGGACATAATGGGAGCCGTGTGTGGATACCATAAAAAGCAATGTCAGGGCAGCAGCATGTGCTGGCGGGCAGCTGGGCGCGGGGTGACGCTGGGCCAGCACCCTGATGACTTTTCCAGGTTGCTCCTCATGCACCAGCCCCTTGTTGAGAGGGGAACAGCATCCGGAGAGCTTTGCTTGCCTGGGGAGGGAGCAGCGCGGGGTGGCTTTGGGATGCAGGGATGCGCCCCTGCTCCCCTCTCAGGGAGGGATGCTCGGATGCAATGCTTGCGCTTGGGCACAACACAAATACTCCCCCTTCTCCTTCACTTCTCCCATTTGCCCTTTGCATTCCTCACAGCCTTGACCCCCCCAAATGACCCCGTGGTGAGTGGAGGTTCAGTGAATGCATCCAGAGATTGTGTGACCCGTTCCATCCGAACCCAGAGCCCAGCACCAGCGCCTTCCCCTCACTAGGATCTCATTTACCGAGGTTTGGGAGTCGGGAACAGCGCTCCAGGTCGTGGCTTTCCCCCTTGTGCCACATTCAGGAGCTCCAGAACCCCCCCAAACCCAAGCTGCTCTTTATTCTGAGCTTCACATTGACTTCTCCTGCAGTGTGGGTTCAACTCCTCTGCCCCGTCATTCCTTTTCTGGACGTGGGATTGGGGGAATTCCTCATTGGCTCGGTCCCTATGGAGGAAAAGGGGTTTGGTTCCCCTCCCAGCTAGGGCAGCTCCCCATGCTCTTCAGTACAGGAGCTGCAGGAAGGGAGGGGAAGCTATGGAAAAGAAGGAATTGATGGTGAAAGCATAAGGTAAAGGCACAAGGAGTCAGCTGCAGGTTGGGACCATCAGAGTGCTCTTGTCAGGCTTCATTACTACTACTGTTAATATTAGTATTTTATTCTTTATTAATAATATCATTAGGAATTAATAATGTGATTAAACACATCCCTTGCCAGGGATTCCCTTTGGAAAAGCAGTCCCAAGCTCCCCTCTCAACCCCTGGCCCTTGGCAAGGCTTCCCAGCCGAGTTATCCTTTCCTCCAGCCTCATGGAAGAGCGCAGTGGAAGCCTCTGCTTGGCCCAAGCCTCCTTTAAACCTGTTGGTGTTTTCGGTCTGAATCCTGCATCCTTTGGGGCCTTCCACCGGGGCCCTTGCTGCACCCAAGCGGGATATCCCTCCCCAGAGCCCTTCCCGTGCCTTTCCCAGGTTCAGCAGCGTCTTCCCCAGTCTGAACATGGCCGTGAAGCGCCGGGAGCAGACGCTGCAGGACTACAAACGCCTCCAGTCCAAGGTGGAGAAGTACGAGGAGAAGGAGAGGACCGGCCCCGTCCTGGCCAAGCTGCACCAGGTACTGGGATGCTCCTGGAGCCGGAGCACAGGGAGAACTCTTGGTGCTTGGCATCAGTGCCGTGCGGTTTGGAAGGGGGGCTTTTATTGGTGCAGAAACCCCTCTTATAGAGAGCTTGATAAGAGAAACGGGGATCCAGCACTTCAGGAAGGGAAGAAGCCAGTTTCCCAGGCTAAACCGGAATCACGGGGGGCGGGATGCTTGAAGGAGGTCAATGCATGGGGGGGGTTCCCCCTGGCCTCCATGTCCGAGCGAGCAGCTGGGTGGGAAAAGGGGGAAGGAAGATCAGAGAGTTCCCAGCTTTCTGCTTGCCACCTGCTCCAGGGAATTCGCCTTGGGGATTGGTTCCGGGGGCGCTGGGCTGCGTTCTCCCAAATCCCAGTGAAATCCCGATTTCCTTCTCCTCCCCGTTAAAGCTTCGCCCCATTCAATCTTGCTCCCCAAATCCGCCGCTCCCGCAGGATGTCCCTGACTCCTCGGCGGTGAAGAACGGGGCTTTTCTGATGGATTTCCCCACAGAAACGGAGCTTTGGGTTAAAGAATAGCCCATAACAAAAGAAACCTCTGCTTTAGGAGTAAGCAGCTTACCCCCCTTAGCCCGGCTCGCTAAAGCTGGGGCTGGAAACCGGGGATGCTTTTGTCCTGCTGATGAAGCAGCTTTGGGTTATTCCCTTAACGAACTTCAGGGAGCTTTAATTCCCCTCCAAAACCAGATCTTGTCCAACCTCTGCATGGGCTTCGATGCCTGCAGGAGCCTTAAGAAGCCCTGACCCTGGGGTATCCGTGTGCTCCGCGGATGGGATGGGAAATGGGATCAGCTCATCCAGGTATTGACTGCGCTGCAGATCTGCATCTCCCCATTGCTGCCCGTCTCCTGCAGCCCCGCTGGGCCCCGTTTCAGGGCACCCAGTGCATTCCCCTCACACCTGATGGGCTTGGAGGCTTGGCCAAGCCTGGGGCTCTGTCCCTGCCACCTCCATTGGGCTGCCCCATGGAGCAGGCGCGGCTCCATGGCTCTCCTGCATCCCCCCCTCAGGAATGGCACTGGGATTAAGTGGCAGGCTTGGAACGGCTCTGATATTTCACAGCCCACCCCCTCCTGCCCTTTTCCACACCAGCTCCCAGACATTTCCCTTTCTCCCCACGCTTCTGTTTAAAGAAGCCAGCGCTGAGCTGAAGGTCACGGGCAGGGAAAGTGACGGAGGGGGCAGGATGCGCTGGTGATGCTCTTGGGTGAGCAGGGTGAGGGCACACGGACCAGGCTGGGGATGTTCTGGGGCTGGGTTTTGTCCATGGCCAGCCTGGCTCCTGATCCCTGCAGCAGCCTCTTGAGGTGTCCCCTGCTTGCCAGGCCTAGAGCTTGCGCCCACCAGGTTCCATAAGCTGGCCATTTGGGTCCCATTGATCTCTCTTGCTGGTCAATTGGTCCAACCAAGGTGGTGGTTGCATGGATCCCATTGCTTTCTGGTGCTAGTCATTTGGTCCCACCAAGGTGGTGGTTGCACAGATCCCATCAGTCTCTGGTCACCAAGGTGGTTGTTGAGTGGATCCCACCAGTCTGATGCTGGTTATTTCGTCCCACCAAGGTGGTGGTTGCATGGATCCCATCAGTTTCTGGTCACCAAGGTGGTTGTGGAATGGATCCCACCAGTCTGATGCTGGTCATTTGGTCCCACCAAGGTGTGGTTGCATGGATCCCACCAGTCTGATGCTGGTCATTTGGTCCCACCAAGGTGGTGGTTGCATGGATCCCACCAGTCTGATGCTGGTCATTTGGTCCCACCAAGGTGGTGGTTGCATGGATCCCACCAGTCTGATGCTGGTCATTTGGTCCCACCAAGGTGGTGGTTGCATGGATCCCACCAGTCTGATGCTGGTCATTTGGTCCCACCAAGGTGGTGGTTGCACGGATCCCACCAGTCTGGTGCTGGTCATTTGGTCCCACCGGTCTCCCTTAGCTGGTTGCTGGTTGTCCCTGGGTCAGAGCAGAGCACTCTGCTGATGTGGGGTCACCTCTCTGCAGGTCCCCCCAAAGGAAAGCTGCTTTCCCTGCCTCCCATCCCCTCTCCTTTGCAGGCCCGTGAGGAGCTGAGGCCGGTGAGGGAGGACTTTGAAGCCAAGAACAAGCAGCTCCTGGAGGAGATGCCCAAGTTCTACAGCAGCCGCATTGACTACTTCAAACCCAGCTTCGAGGCGCTGGTCCGGGCGCAGGTGAGGCCCTGTCCCTGCCCTGGGTGGCCCTGGTGGGACCCGTCCCCCCTGGGTACCCGCAGTGCTGGCTCCAGGGGAGTCTGGGCTGCTTTAGATGGACCTGCCTCTTACCAGGGGCACGACGGCCCTGTCCCATGGGATTGCCTTGGAGCCCTGCTTGGACGATGTCTTGTGGCATTTGATGGCTTTATGCAGCTGGGCTGGTTTGAAATCCTGAGCTCGGGGTTGGAACTTGGGATGCTCAGGGCTCATCTTCACGGTCCCCTTAGTCCCTGCCCATGGGTTGGACCTGGGTGATCCTCAGGCCCTTTCCGACCCGACTGCTCTGTGATTCTGGGTAACCAGAGCTGCTGTGCTGGCAGATGGAGGAGGCTGCTGGGGAAGCTTTGCAGGACGGGGTGGCCTACATTAACCACAGCTGGCTTTAATTCCCACCCTCCAGCTTTGTGCCCGGCCCTGTTGCTGCCCCTCCACCCTCCTCCTCCTCTCACCCTTTTCCTTGGGCTGGAGAAGGGCATGGCTGGGGTTTCATCTGGCACCGTGGAATCGGGGTTCTCATGGGCTGGTTTGTGTTGGAAGGGGCAGGAGCCCGAGTTCCAGCCCCAGCCCCGAGCACTGGGGGCTCTCTGAGCCTGATTCACCTTCCAGATGGTGCTGGGGATGCTGCTCCCATCCCCTGCTCCAGCAGCCCAGGGACCCAGACTCCCTGGAGCCACCGCAGTCCCTCTGGCTCTTGCCCCCAGCCCTGCAGGCCCCTCGCTGTGGGTGGTTTGTTGGGACGAGGCCCTGGATCCCGGCTGCCGTCTGGGTGCTCTGATCCCCTGGCAGCTCCCCTTGCCCCTGTCCTTGGGCAGGACGTCCCCTGTGCTCTGCTTGTGCTGGCTCCTGCCTGCGGAGGGGGGGCTCGGGGCAGCAGGGAGCTCTCTGAAGGGCTCCCTGTTCGTATCCTCCTGGTTCCCTCTTCCTCAGGTGAGGGTTTTGCTCAGGACATCCCATTGTCAGCACCCGTGTGCCAAGGCCGGTGCCTCTGCTGTGGGCCGGACTGGAGCTGGTCCCAGTGGATGCTGCAGTGTGTCACATCCCTCTCCCCAGCACTGCTGCGCCCTTCCAGCCCCGGGCAGGGATGCACCAGCACAGCGGCATTCCCGGTGCTGGGAGAGAGCTCGGCACTTCCCTAAGGAGTTCTTTGTGCCTAGGCTGGGCTCTGGCCCTGTCCCGCTCCAGCTGAGGAGCCTGGGCACTGCACAGTTCCCTTACTGCGAGTGGCTGCAATAAACAGGGAAAGGGTACCAGGAGCAGCACCGGGAGCATCTGCATCCCACCACTGCAGGGGTGGGGAGGTGATGGGAGGTCACTGGTCCAGCCCAAGGCCAGGGTGCACACAGGGGCTTGGAGCACCCTGCTCTAGTGGAGGTACCTATGCAGGGACTGGAGCTGGAGGAGCTTTGAGCTCCCTTCACCCCAGCAGCAGTTTGATGGCTGTGACCCAAGGAGCCCCCGGGTTCCCATGGCACAGCCTGGCCGGTGCCGGCTGCCTCCGGGCTCGCAGGGGCTGCAGCATCCAACACCGAATGCTTGTGTCCACCCACGGGCCCGGCCCGGCGCAGGCAGAGAATTCCCTGGCTGAGGGCTTTGAAGTGGCCACATGAAGATGAAAGGGGGAGATGTGGAGCCTGGTGCTTCCAGCTGGCAAACGGCACCCGCTCGGATGCAGCAGGATGGGGGCAGAGGCTGGGGTTTGGGGCAGGGCTGGGGTGAGCCTGAGCGGGTGCTGGCAGCGGCCCCGGGGTCGGTTTGGTGCAGGGCTGCTATAAACAGGAGCGGTGCCCGGCTGCGGCCAGCGTGGTCCATGGAGAATGGGGAGAACACAGCGTCCTGCAGCGGGATTAGTTCAGGACAGGTGGGTCGGGGCTGCTGGCTCCGTCTCAAAGGCGAGCTGGAGATGGGATTTGATGGGATGGGGACGGAGCAGATGGCATCCACGGCTGGAAAAGTACTGGGCAGCAGGGAGTCAGTGCCCATCAGTTTGGGGTGCATCCCCCCAGCCATAGAGGCAGTGATGGGAGAAACCCCAGGGGATCAATCCCTGTAAAGCACAGGAGATGCAACGGGGATGCACCATGAGTGCTGCTGCTAGGACTGGGGTCTGCGGGGGGACAAGAGCATCGCTAAGGAGCACTGCAGCACCTTGGGGACCCTGTGTGTGCCACTGGCATGCGGATGGTGGGGGGGCAGCACCCAAAACGGGTGCTCTGCTGTGGATACAGAGCAGGCTCGGGGGCAATCCTTGGGGAAGGGGCTCCTGTTGCTGCCCTGGGGGCTTCACCTCAGTGCACCTGGAATTCGGTGCTGGAAGTGGCAGCACCGTGTGGCCATGTGTGACTGAAGGGAGCCCAGGATGGGGCTGAGGAGCAGGAGCTCCAGCACCCAGCTCTGCAGCCCTCGCACTGGGATCCGTGCCCTCCATGGCATCGGGAAGGGGTTCCATGGGGGTGAGGGGAGTTCCCAGTGCTCTCAGCATCCCCTGCTCGCGTGGGGCTCAGGGTGCTTTGGGGTGACCCGGCTGCAGTGGGGCTGGGGGGGGCTCTTTCCCACGCCTGCCTGCCTGGGGCTCGTTAGTCACTGTGTAAATGAGCACTGAATCACCCAGCACCCACGGCGTGGGGAGACCCAGCCCCGCTGCAGCCCCCGCTGCGCTCCGGTGCGGATGGACCCAGGGGAAAGGGGCGAGGGGGATGCAGGAGCTTGTGGGTCCCCAGCATCGCCCCTCAGCCCTGCCCAATGTAAGCATCGCTTTGAGCAAGATGAGGGGAGCTGGTCTCCATGGAGACCAAACTGGGGATGCTGGGGCTCATCCTGGGTGCCCACCGAGCCTTGCCTGTGAGATGGGGGCCACCTGGGAAGCGCTTCCCCATCCCTCCCTGCCAGCGCTGGGCCAGGCCTCCCCATCACCTCCTATGGGGCGCAGCACCGCGGCTCTGCACTGGCAGCCCGGTGCCATCTGCGTGCGCTGCCCCCCTGGCTCCCGCTCCCGCGCTAATTGCTGCTGTTAATTAGCACATGATTAAACCCCCCCTCCCCTCCCCCTGCCGCGTGCTCCCGGTGCCCCAGTGCCAGGCACAGGGACCCGAGGCACCGGTGATGGGCGATGGGGACCCCATCGCTGGGGGCAGCTCCAGATGGGCCCGAGCAGGGAAGGGCAGCGCGTTCCTACCGCGCACTGGGCCGGGGTGATGGGGATGGAGCTGGTTTAACACCAGCAGCACCGAGCGAGGGGCGGGCTCCATCCGCGCTGCACCCCCGGAGGAGGAGCCCCCCACACCTCTCCTCTTGCCCCCCCAGGTTGTCTATTACACCGAGATGCACAAGATCTTCGGGGAGCTGACGGCGCAGATCGACCGCGCCGGCCCCAGCGACGAGCAGCGGGAGCGCGACAACGACGCCAAACTCAGCGAGCTCCGGGCGCTCTCCATCGTGGCCGATGACTGAGCCGGGGCAAGGCCCCCCCTGCTCCCCATAGGGATGGACTCGGGGAGGGGGGGGTTTAACCCCTTTTTCCCCCCCATGGCGCTGTCAGCACCAGGTATTGGGTATGGGCACAGCGGGGCTGCCCCTGCCCTCCCCATCCCATTGCCAGCATCCGGCCCTGCAGGGATTCACCTCCTATCGGGGTTCAGGGGGGCGCTGGGTGCTGCCGGCCTTGCCCAGGCCCCCACTCGCTGCTGCCCCAGCCCTGGGCGCTGTTGGCCTGGGCAGGAGGATGGGGGCCCTCCTGCCCCCTTCAGTTTGTGCCTTAGGGGAGGGGAAAGCGTTTAACCCCCACGCTTTGAGGCATGGGGAGGGGGTGATGAAGGCTCCGCGTCTCCCCTGCCAAGCACCAAGCGATGCCGCGCTGCTTGAAGCAGGAATGGGGCAAAGCGCCCCTGCCCCATAGCCATGGGGTGCAGGGGGTGCCCGCTGGGGGGTACCGCAGGGGAACGCAGCCCGGGCCCAGGGAGGGGGTGATGGGGTCCCGGAGCCGCCCCTCGTTGCTGGGGGGGGGGTCTCCAATAAAGGTCGTGGCAGCGCAGCGGAGCCTGGTTGGGAGCCGGAGCCAGCGCCGCGCCGCTGCTGCCCTCTGCAGCCCCCCAACAGCCACTGCCGGGGGCCCCATGGGCTCCAGCGCTGGGGGAGATGGGGGGGGGAGGAGGGGGCGAAAGGGACCAGGGAAGACCCCGAGGAACGGAGATCTCCATCAGATGGAGGGGGCTGGAGCCCCAGCCCGCACAGGGGACGGTGCAGGAGCCCTCCCATCCTGGGGGCAGCGGCTGCTGCATGGGACAAGGGTTGGGATGCGGTTATGGAGATGATGGTGCTCAATGGGCACGGCCGCATCCAGAGCCTCCCAGTGCGCACCTGCGTGTACCCCTCCATCCTAACCGGGCCAGGCTGTCCCCAAGCAGAGCATCCCAGTGCCTGCCTCCAACGCACACCAGATTCCCTGCTTCAGAGGTTTCTATTCAATGCAAACCAGGCAGAGCAAACCCTGCACATCCCTGGGGATGCCCGGCCTGGGATCCCATCTCCCCAGAAGGCTGGGATGAAAGAGGCTTGTGGGGAGGGTGCTGCCATCCGCATCCCTGCTGTGCGGCATCTCCTGATGGAGACCTGGTGGGTGCTGCTCCATTGGTCCAAAAGAGAGGTGGCCTAGAAGGGGGTGACAGCAGCTCGTGGTACCCACACCCCAGCACATCTCATCCTGCCTTACCCCATGCCTTTGGGTGCTCCTCAATGGCTTGCCCAGGCTCAGCGCCACGGTGCTGCGGGAGAGGCGGAGCAGGACAGGAGGCAGCAGCATCCCTGGAAGCAGAATTCCTCCCCCGCTGCACGGTGCCCATCATCCCTGCACCTACCCGGGAGCTCCTCTTCCCTTCAGTCCCCATGGACACAGGGCTCGGGTCCAGAGCCTCGGGCTGCTGCAACACAGACATGGGTGAGGGATGGAGGGGGCCGAGTGCCCCAGAGCACCAGCACTGAACACTCCCAGGGGATACTGGGCTCCCCAACACAGACATGGGTGAGGGATGGAGGGGGCCGAGTGCCCCAGAGCACCAGCACTGAACAGGGGGGACACGGGGCTCCCCCCCTTGGCTCTGTCCGTGTCTGCCCATCACCACCACCAGTACCTCAGTTTGGCACAGCAGACCCTGGGGCATGGCAGGAGCAGTGCTCAGGGTACCCCAGGAATCCCAGCAGGGAGCTGAACCCCCATAAATCCCCCCTGCTGCCAGGATGGGATGGGGTGGGATCAGAGCCCTGCCAGGGCATGGAAAGGCTGATGGGTGTCCAGGCCATGTGCAGGGACACAGCGAGAGCATCCCGGGGCCGCATGCTGCATCCCATGGGGTCGCTGCAGGGATGGAGCCAGGAGCTCCCTTCCCCTCGGCTGTTCCTTCCCAACCGCATGATGCCGGGGGGCCAGGTCTAAGCCAAATAAACCCGGTTGCCATGGTTACCCGGAGCAGGGATGCTTCATTTAACTGCCACGCAGGAGCCGAGCCCATGCGAGGACCACGCTGTGCCATGGGGGGGCTCTGCAGACCCTGCACCAGCCCCTCAGCAGCAAGGCCCATGGCAGGGGAGGTGCGGAGCATCTGCTGGGTTAAACCCATTTAACCCCGTTGGCATCCCCCTGCCTCCTCCATCCCCTGCAGCCCCATGGCTGCCCTCAAAGGCCGCTGCTCTGTGCCATCAGCTCCTCCTGCTGTCCTTGCAGCTCCAGAGGGACTGCACCGATGGAAACCCAACCCCAGCGGTGCGAGCTCTGCTCCCGTCTGGATACCGTGGGAATGGCCACTACAGATCGGGATGAGGGATCCCATGATGGGGACTGGTACCCATGAGCACAGAATCCCCTTCCCTCGGCAGGGACTGGGCAGACTCAGGCAGTGAACTCGGTCACATTGCAGCATCCTGGCCAACCCCTTCCTTCCCTAAACCCATATTCCCTCTGGAACAAGGCCCCTGGGCAGGTTTTACAGATGCCATCCCCCAGCCTGTCCAGCACTGAATACAACTGACAGCTTGCACCAAAATCTATGCTTTTTCCCCCAAAACCGGGTGAATGAACCCTTGCCAGGAGCAGCACACACCTGGATCCACACTTCCGCTGCCTTTGTTGGGTGCTTGGGAGCCTTCCCCTGCTCCAGGTGATCCAGGGACAGTGGGGCCGTCACAAGGGAATGGAGTCCCAGGCCCCCATGCTGAGACCCCATCCCTCCTCCTCACCTTGATCCCAAAAGCAGAATCGGCACCATCCGGACCATCCTCAGCATCCTCCTATGGGGTCGGGCATCCCGTGGGGCAGCCAGGTGCTGCTGGAGCATCTCCCTGCATGGCAGAGGGGCAGAGCAGCGCTGGGGGCGCCTGAGCTTGTTCTGAGCCGCTCTCCCCAAAGCAGCCCCCATGCTCCCTGTCCTGAGCATCCCCCCGAGTCCCTCCTGCCCTTTGCTCCTCACCCCGGGCTCTTCAGCCTGGAGAAGAGAAGCTGCGTGGAGACCCCATAGCAGCTTCCAGTGTCTGAAGGGGGCCTATAGGGATGCTGGGGAGGGACTCTTCATTAGGGACTGCAGTGACAGCACAAGGGGTAATGGGTTCAAACTTAAGGGGAAGTTTAGATTGGATCTAAGGAGGGAATTCTTCCCTGTGAGGGTGCTGAGGCACTGGAATGGGTGCCCAGGGAGGTTGTGAATGCTCCATCCCTGGCAGTGTTCAAGGCCAGGTTGGACAGAGCCCTGGGTGCCCTGGTTTAGTGTGAGGTGTCCCTGCCCATGGCAGGGGGGTGGAACTGGATGATCTTAAGGCCCTTTCCAACCCAAACCACTCTATGGTTCTATGGTCTCCCCAGGGGAGGATGAGGGAAGGGTCACAGAATCAACATGGAGCTGCTTCTGCCCAAGATCCTGCCCCAGTCTCCCCTCTGGCAGGTTAAATCCCCACCCTCTTCACTGCTGGCGAGGGGGAAACAGGGATCCACGAACCCAAACCCCTCCAGCATCCCCCATCCCGCTCCCAGAGACCCCCCGTACCCCGCAGTGCTGGGGGAGGATGAGCACTCACCATTCCCGTTAGGAGCGGTGGGATGCAGGATGCTCCGAGGATGCTCCGAGGATGCCCTGGGGGCTGAGCGCAGCTTCCAGCGGCATCTTGCGGTACCCGGCCCCTCACGGCGCAGCCCCGACGGCACGGAGAGGGGCTCCAGCAGCACCAAACCTCAGCGGCAGAGCAGCCCCCCCCCCTCGTCCGTCTGCCCCCCCGCTCCAGTGCGGACCCCTCGGGACCCCGTTTCTCACCCTCCGGTGAGGGACAAGCTTCAGACCCCCCCCCCCCCCGGAGCCTGTCCTGCCCCATGGAGCGGGTCCCGAAGGGGAGGACCCGGGGTCGGAGCCGCTGGCACCGGGTGATGGGAGCGGGGCCGGGCGGACAAAAGGAGCGGTCGGAAGTGATGCGGTGATGACGCGCCCCGCAGTGACGTCACCCCCCACCAGCAGATGACGTCACCGGGCCAAAACCGCCTCTTTAACAGTGAAAAGAGTTTTATTTGGGGTAAAAGTGAAGGTGGGGGGGGGAACAGGGCCGGGGGCCGGCCCCGGCGGGTGTGACGTCATACGGCGGGGTGTGACGCAATGGGACCTCCTCCATCCATTGGCAGCAGCAGGACCGGGACCCCCGGCCCCGGTCCCGGCCCCGGCCCTACCTGCAGCGGCCCCCCCGCAGCGAGCGCCGGGTCAGGCGGGTGAGCAGCGCCTTCACCCGGCCCCAGTGCGAGCGCCCATCCTGCGGGAGGACACAGGGGTCAGCCATGGGACCCCCGCCCCATCACCCCACAACCCCCCCATCACCCCAAAGCCGTTACCTTGTCCGGTGCCGGGGCAGCGGCCGCGCTGTCGGTGGGGTCCAGCAGGCTGGGGGAGCTGGATGAGTACCCCCATGTCCTGTGGCATGGGGCAGCGTCAGGGGCTGCGGGGATCGGGGGGGATAAAGCTGGTTGGGGGGGGTCCAACAGGGCATGGACCCACAGCCCCCGCGTCCCACCCTGCTCACCGGCAGCCTGGCTGTCCGAGCAGGAGCGCGGCCGGAACCGTTCACCCTTCCACAGGGCTGCGTCCCGGCTGTGCTGTAGGTGAGGATCAGCATGGAAGTGAGCTGCGGGAGCCCCCAGCAGAGCATCACCCGCTCCCTGCTGCCGGCCCCTCACCGTGGCGTCCGGGCGGGTGCTCTGGGTGCCCTCCGCCTGCTGCCGCAGGAGCCGGTTGTCCTCCTGCAGCTTGGCCAAGCGCTCCAGCATCTGGCAGACGTGCTCCAGGTACCGCAGCCCCTGCCCCGGCTCGGCCCCGCTGGGTGCCGCATCCCCGGGCTGCTCCGCTGCGGCCTCCTCCGCCTCCCGAGGGGGCTTCGCGGCCCCGCGGTGCCCTCGCCCCAGCACCCGCTGCCTCCGGCTGCGCTGCGCCGCCTGCGCCAGCCTCCTATGGGGCAGGCGGGGGGGCTCCGTGCCCGGCTCCTCCGCCGCCGGGGTCCGCTCCGGTGCGAGCCCATCGAGGGGGAAGCGGCTCTCGGAGCCCGCGGGGGGGGACGGCGAATGCTCGGTGCTGCCCATCTCCAGCCCGGAGTCCTCCGACTCGCACTTGAGGAGCTGCCCCCCGGCCCCCCGCGGGCTCTCCTGCAGCCGCCGGTACACGCTGGCCGAGGTGGGAACCACGCAGCTCTCTGCCGCCTCCCAGGGACCATCTGCGGGGAGAGGGAACGCGCTGGGATGGGGGGGCCCAGCACGGCCCCATCACCGCTCACAGCCCCACAGCGGCTCCAGCCGTGCCCCCCAAAGCGAATCAAACACAACCCCCCCCTCCCGGCCCATGGACTCCTCTCCAGAGGGTCCCCACAGCCCCTCCGCAGGGGCAGGGATGCTCACAGGAGGGCAGCACGGGCCTCGTGCCCATCCTCTGCCCTCTGAACCACCAAACCCTGCTCGAACTCGGTGCCAGACACAGCAGGGCCACGGGCTCCATCCTTCCCCCACCATGGGATGGCTCCAGGGACCACCTCGCACTCACCCCCACAGCACAGGGGGCACCCCCGGGATGCGGCCCCCATCGCATCAACAGGGACCTGGGCTCCAACCCGGCCTGGCCACAGCAGAAAGGGGCTCATGGAGGTGGGGAGCGAAGCTTCGGAACCCCCGGGGCACCCAAACTGAGCTGCCCCCCCCCGACCCCCCCCATGCACTCACAGCAGCTGAACCTCCTCTTCCAGACGGCGCGGGAGCCGCCCCACATCCCGAGCGCCGGAGCCGAGTGCAGGGCGCGCTTCCCGGCGCTCCCTTTTCTAACCAGCCCAGCCGGGATCCTCATTACAGGACTGGTTCCCAACTGGTTCCTTGCAGGCTCTGGGATCGGTGATACTGGCTGAGCCGGTGGTTAAGGGCTCCCTTCCCACCCCACCGGGCTGTTTGGGCACTGGGAAGCCGGCAGCCCCGTGCTGGATGCATCGGGGAACCCCGCTCTGGGCTTGGGGGGGATTCGGTCCCAAATTCCTACCAAACCCGGGGCTGGAGCCTCTCACTGCACCCCCCCATGGGGATGGGGATGGGGACGGATCCGGGATGCTGCGGAGGGACAATCCCGGCCTTGAGCAGCAACGAATTCCAGCAATGCCGTGGGCCAGCGGCTCCCACACACCCGGCTCCCATGGGCTGGGCCGGGTGGCACCATGGGCTATGGGGCTGCTTCCCACCCCATCACCACCGGGATGGGGGCACAACGGGTGGGAAGGGGCACAGGGGTTCCCATCACTGGCAGAGCTCGAAGCCACCCTGGGGTCCCCCCCCCAAGTCCTCAGACCCCCACAGTTAGATGCTGGGGGGGGTCCCAGCATAGCCCAAGCTGAGAACCCACAGGGGGAGGCCATGGGTTTGTGAGCACACCAAAGGGACCCCAGTGCAGGCACAGGCCCCTGAGCCCAGCAGTGGAAGGCAAAACCTGGTTTGAAATCGCAGCACCCTGGGCCCTTCCCAGCAAGGGGACAGGAATCAGGAGCCCCCTAAAGACCCCTTTCAGCACAAGCACCATCAATCGGGGGTGCCGGGGACACCCAGGCCCCCTTCCATACAGACACCGCAGAGCGGGGACCCCTGAGCATCGCTCCTGCACGAGCATCCCAGGTTGGGGTTCCCCCCTCCCGGAGCTTCATGGGGGTCCCCGGGAGCCCCCGACTCACCCCGGAGCGGCTCCACGCTGAAGGCTCCGCGGCGGCGGAGCATCGCGGGGTGGGGGGGAACCGGAACCGGGACCGGGACCGGGACCGGGACCGGGCAGGACGCACCGGGAGGACCGGGCAGGGCGGACGGGGCAGCCCCGCTGCTCCTGCGCCGTTTTATGGGGCAGGGCCCGGGGCGGGGCGGGGCAGGGCGGGGCGGGGGGGGCCGCCCCCTCCCCGAGCAGCCCCTTTGCCCCCAGCCCCATGGCACCGCATCCGGATAGCGCTGAGCACCGCAGGAGCCTGCGCGGGGCTGGCAGGGGAGGGACCCCCGGGGCAGTGCATGGGCAGCCCCCCCGTATCTGCCAGCAAAGGGGATCCCGTGTGTGAACGGGGCGAGCCGGGGGGCACGGGGGCTGCAGCACCGGGATGTGGATCATGGGGTGTGGATCATGGGGTGTGGATCATGGGGTGTGGATCATGGGGTGCGGGATGATGTGGACATGGGGAGGGGTCGGTGCTCTCCTAATCTCGGCCGGGAGCTGCTGATAGCAGAGCCCATCCCCGTGCAAACAGGCACCAAGGGAGGAGAGCAGCGATAAGAGCCCACCTGAGCCCTGCAGGACAAAGGGCCCGGCCAACAGCCCACAATAAACCCCGACACCTCCCAGGGTGTCCCCACACCCAGCCCTGGGGCAGGGGGTTTGCATCAGCTCCCCACTGCTGCTATGGGTGCAGGCAGGAAGGGTTTGGGGTCCTTGCCTGCATCCCCCCCTCCCCAGCCCTGGGAGGGTGCAGGATGCTCCTGCCCCCCCTGCCCCGCACAGACCAGGCACGGGAGTGGAGCAGATATATATTATCTTTATATAGAGATCTGGCTTCATAGCTCCGAGAAGCCCTTTGCAGTCAGTGCACAAAGCGGTGCCAGCCCCGTCTCCAGTACCTAAGTGCTCAAGCATCCCTGTGCCCCCCTTTCCATCCCTGCTGCGCCCCTGGGTGCAACCCAGGCTGAGAACTGACCCAAGCTCATCACACACACACTGACACAGCGAGGGCAAAGGGGGCAGCCGCACCTCACACCCCCCCCCCCAACCACCAGCCCCAACCCTCCCAAAGCAGTGGGGCCCTTGGGGTGCCCGAGGGGATGCAGCGGGGAGCTCCCCATGGCCCCCTGCGTGCGGCTCAGGAGTGGGGGGGCACCGCGGGGGCTCTGGTGCCTCCGGGGGGGCCCTGGTAGCGCAGCTTCGCGTGTTTCTCACAGTAGAGCTCGTCCCCGGCCCAGAAGTGGCCCCGCATCTTCAGGTTGAGCCCGCAGTCGGCGCACGCGTAGCAGGAGGGGTGCCGGTACCGCCCGTCCCGGATGCGCACCGCCTGCGTCCTGCGGGACACGGGGCCGTCACCGCCCGCCCCCACCGAGGGGACCCCCCCCCCCCGGCCCGGACCCCACTCACGCGATGCCGCTGCCGCACTTCTCACACGCGGGCAGCCTCGGGAGCCCCGGCGCGGGTTTGGGTTTGCGGGCGCTGGGCGAGAGGCGGCTGGGGACGGGCGCTGCGGGGACACGAGGCCGTCAGGGCCGCACCCGCACCCCGCAGCGCCCCCCTTGAGCCCCCCTCACCTCCAGCCTCGTCCTGCAGCGCCTCCTGCAGCAGGCGGAAGGTGCTGGACTGGCGCGGGGCCGCCCGCAGCTCCCGGTTCTCCTGCAGCATCTTCAGCACCTCCGAGTCCTCCTCCAAGCGCCTCATGGCCGGCTCCGAGCCCGGGCTGCGGGAGCGGCACCCAGGGGGTGGCTCCCAGCACCCCAACGCTCGGGTCCGTGGGGCTGCACCCAAAGCACCCTCCAGCGGCTCCTCCACCCTGGGGAGCTGCCCCAGCCTGCCCCGTCCCTCCCACAGCCCGACCCGCGCCGCAGGTGCCTTAACCCTTTGCACGGGCTCCCTCAGCACCCATGGGTGCGTTGCGATGGGTGCGTGCGTGCGGCTGCGGGGCTTCGCTGTGCCCGCGTCCCGAGCCCGCCCCGTACCTGCTGCAGGGGTCGGGAGAGGATGCAGAGCTGCGCCGATCCCCGGGGGGCTCCCAGGGCTCTGGGGGGGTCCCGAGCCCCGGTGAGGGTGGGCGGGGGGGTGGAGGCAGCGCAGACCCCGCGGAGCTGTGGAGGCTTCCTCGGTCCTGGCAGGGGGTGAAGAGGAGCTGGGTGAGGAGCTGGGGACCGGGGGGTGCAGCCCCACCGCAGGGGGACACCCAGGTGGGGCCGAAGGGATGGGTGGTCCCCTGGAAGGATGCGGGGATGCTCCATGGCTCTGCATGGGACAGGCCAAGGGGAATGGCTTGAACCTGCCCGAGGGGAGACTGAGCTGAGCTCTGAGGCAGAAGCTCTTCCCTGTGAGGGTGCTGAGGCACTGGCACAGGGTGCCCAGAGGAGCTGTGGCTGCCCCATCCCTGGCAGTGCTCAAGGCCAGGTTGGACACAGGGCTTGGAGCAAGCTGCTCCAGTGGAAGGGGTTGGGAATGGAGGAGCTTTAAGCTCCCTTCAATCCAAACCAGGCCGTGATTCAAAATCCCTCTGCTCCCACCCCGCGCCTGCGCCCGTCCCCTCCCTGCATCTGCTCCTGCTCAGGGCAGGAAAGGCGAAACCCGGATAAGTGGAAGCAGCCGCCATCAGATGCAAACCCGGGGTGGGGATGAGGAACCCCGTGCCCGGGCCCTGCAGAGGCGGAGGGGGCAGCCCCAGGGCTCTGTGGGTCACAGCAAGCAAAGGATGAGCTAAACTTAGGCACGGGTGGAGCTGGGCCCTTTGGCTTCATCCCCGCCGGTACCCGGCGCCAGCCCGCACTGGGATGGGGAACAAAGCACGGTCCGAGGGCAGCCCTTCCCCTCGCTGCCCCTCTGGGCAGGGGTCCGGCCACAGCCCCCCCCCGCTCAGCCCCATGGCGGGGGGGCTGTGGGGCAGGGGGGAACCCCTTTGGGGCGAACACGGATGTGGGGGGGAAGGAGGGAGCGTGCGCCCAGAGGAGCCAAGGGGCAGCCGGGGCCGGGCCGCGCTCGGGGCCTCGGCGCTTCCCGATTTGGGCTTGGAAACAGGGAAGGGAAAGCGGGGAAGGAGCGGGAGGAGGGAGGGGCCGAGCCCGGAGCCAGCGGCTGCCCCCGGGGCACCGCAGCCGCCCCAAACCGCGGCGGGGAGGGGCGGGACCGGCCCGGGCCAGGCGGCGGGGGGAGCATCCCTGCCCCGGGCACTGCGGGCACCGCGGCCCGGCCCGGCCCTGCCTGCACCGCCCGGCCCCGGGGCAGAGCGGGAGGGGAGGGGGCGCTGCGGGGGGGGGGGGGAGCAGGGCTGAGACCAGCGGTGGTTTCGGGGTGCAAAGGGGACGGGTTTGGGGTGCAAAGGGGATGGGTTTGGGGTGCAAACAGCGGTGGTTTTGGGGTGCAAAGGGGATGGGGTTGGGGTGCAAAGGCAGTGGGTTTGGAGTGTGAACAGCGTGGTTTCGGGGTGCCAAAGTGATGGGTTTGGGGTGTGAACAGTGTGGTTTCAGGGTGCCGAGGGGACGGGTTTGGGGTGCAAAGGGGATGGGTTTGGGGTGCAAACAGCGGTGGTTTCAGGGTGCCAAGGGGACGGGTTTGGGGTGCCAAGGGGATGGGTTTGGGGTGCAAACAGCGGTGGTTTCAGGGTGCCAAGGGGATGGGTTTGGGGTGCCAAGAGGATGGTTTGGGATCACAAAGCTCCCATTGCGCAGATGCCCCCCCGCAGCCCTGCCTGGCCCCACACAGCCCCCAGCTCCTGCTCACCTGGCAGAGGCCGGGCCAGGCCATGTCCTCCATGAGCCGGGAGCTGTGGGGAGAGGATGGAGCCATCAAGGACCCCAGATCCTGCCCGGGCCCCCCCACCCCGTCCAGCCTTACCCTGTGCTGCCGGGCAGGGCGCTGCAGGGCGCGGGGCTGGAGCCTCTCCGGGCGGCCCCGCTCTCCTCCTGCATCCGCAGCGCATCCTGGGGACGGGAGGGAGACGCCAGCGGCTGAAGCCGGCCCTGGATGAGGGTGGGGGGCACGGGGGCTGCCCGGGGCTCACCTGGAAGCGGGCTCCCAGCATCTCCGGTGAGGAGTCCCCATTGGTGTGGCTGGGAGGTGGCACCGGGGACCTGCGGGACCAAGGGAGAGTGGTGGCTCCCGCATGCAGGAGCCCGCGGCGTGGCCGCTCTGTCCCTGCCAGTTGGCAGGGGCTGGATGAGCTTTAAGGTCTCCTCCAACAGGAACCAGTCTGTGATTCCCCTGCAGCACCCCCAGGCCCCCAACTGGGACCAGTTGGCCGGGTAACGGCTGCCAGCGCTGCCTGAGCCTTAATTACAGACCCGGGACGGGCTCCCATGGGAAGGGCAGAGCCCCAGGAGCCACTGGAAGGGCAAACAACCGGCTGGGCGCAGCACCCACCTCTCCACCTGCAGCCGGAGCTGCCCAGGGCTCTGCTTGATCTTATTCTGCGCCTCCACATTGAGCATCTCTGCTGCGCTCTCCCCGTTGATGGTGAGGATGAGGTCCCCTGGGCGCAGGTCCCCCGCGGCCGCCTTCCCGTGCTCCGTCACCTCCATGGGACATGGGGATGGGCCCGGTGTCATCCTGGTGGTGCTGGGGGCAGCGAGACCCCCCCCTCCCTGCCACCCCTTAGCCCCACACCTGCACCGTGCAAGCCTCGTGCATCACCGTGCCCAAGCACACGGATGGGCACAGCCAGCTCTGAGGTGGTCCCCAAGTCCAGGATGCTGCCATTGGGGTCCCCAGTGGAAACATGGCACCGCCCTGCCGAGCTCAACGAACCCATCCCCACCAGCACCCATCCCCACGGAGCAGGATCCGCTCCTGGAGCACCCCCGGTCCAGAGCCCACCCCTGCATCCCGGGCTCCTACCTTGGAGACGGTGATGGGCTTCCCAAAGTCTCTTCCCCCCGTGATGCGGAAGCCCCATGGGGCAGGACCGGGCAGGGTGAGGGTCAGGGGCATGGCCGCGGGTCCTGCGCGGGGTGAGGACAGCCCCGGTGCCGAGGGGATGGGGCAGAGCCGGGACCCTGCGCCCTGCCCGGGGATGATGGAGCCCAGCAGCGCCTTCCTTCCGGGGGCCCTCGCCCTGTCGCAGGGTGCCGGCAGCTTCCTCTTGCTGCCCCGCTCTTGGTGGCTTCCTCCCCTTCCAGCCCTCCCCGGGGACCCGGGGCTGCGAGGCTGCGGCTGCAGGGGATGGAGCGGCCGCGGTCACCGAGGCCTTGGGCAAGGCAGGAAATCGGTGCTGGTTTGGCCACGGCAAGGCCGAACCGAGGGGTCCGAGGGGAGGATCCTGCTGCGCACCAGGGCTGCAAGAACCACCCCCCCCCAGCCCTTCGTCCTGCAGCAAACCCACACGGGTAAGGGACGCTGAGCATCCCCTGGCGATAGCACGGGGGCCGCAGCAGCCCTTTGCTTTGATGGGATCGGTGGGAACCGGCAGCACCGTCCACTGAGTATCAGCTCTGGCATCGCTGGTCCTCTTGGGACCCATCCCAGCACAGCGCTACCAGCACAGCCCCAGGGTGGCAGCAGGAGTAGGGTACCCATCTGCATCCCGGCACCCCATCCTCATCCCGGCACCCCATCCTCATCCCGGCACCCCATCCTCATCCCGGCACCCCATCCTCATCCCGGCACCCCATCCTCATCCTTGCACCCCATCCTCACCCGCAGCCGCCGGGGGAGGCATTTTAAACATCCCAAGTGCACAAAGAGGGGTTTCAGAGGCTGCCACGAAGAATTTCCTGGGCTGGGCTTTGCAGCGCCGAGAGGAAACCCCAAACCCGCTCCCCGTGCCCAGCCCCGCTCAGCATCCCCGGGAACCGAGGTCTGGCTCCCCGGGGGACCCCAACACCCGGCCGGGCACCCCCGAGAGTGCTGCACCCCCAGAGCGCTGCACCCCTGAGACTGCTGCACCCCTGCTCCTGCACCCCCATCCCCTGCCCCGTCCATGCCCGCACCCGGGGCACGGCGCTGCCTTTGTGGCCGCGGTTCCCGGCACGCTCCGGAGCTGCCGGCGGCTCCCCGGCGCTGCCGGGGCCGTGGGGACAGCGCTGCCCGCCCCCCCCCGTCCCCTGCCCGTCGGAGCAGCGCCCCCGAGCCCCCGGCCCCGGCCCCCCCCCCAGCACTCACCGAGCCGGCGGCCCCGTGGGGCGGCGGAACCGAGCGCGGCCCCGCGGCAGCGGCGCCTCCCCCTCGGAAGGGGCCGGCGGAGCCCGACGGGGCCGGGCCGCAGCTCGGCAGCGCCGTCTACGGGCACGGCCGCCCCGACGGGGCGCACGGTGAGGGCCGCGGGCGGTTCCAGGGGTCCCGCGTGTCTGGATGCAGCCCCACAGGCACCCCCGCAGCCCTGCCCATCCCTGTGTGCCCACAGCATCGCCTCCACGCAGCATCACAACCCCACTGGGCGCCACCGCACCCCCAGTGTGTGGCCCCGCTGCCCCATGCAGTGCCCTGTGGGCTCCTGCCCCACATCTCCCGTGGGCACTGCCCCAACCAGGCTGAGCCTTGGGTTGAGCTGAGCTTTAATGGTGGGCATGAAGCAACCGCGACTCCCGGGTGCGCGGCACGGCCCTGGACCAACACCTCGGGTCAGAGCCGTCATGGTCAGGCCCCGGCACCGGCGGGGATGCCCCTGGCACTGCCTGGAGAGGAGCGGGAGGCACGGAGGAGGGGTCTGGTTAAGGCACTGCATTGCAGGGATGGGTCCCTGTTAGAGCAGCCCCATAGGGGCAGGCGGGAGCTGGAGGCGCTTTTGCCCCCATGGGGGGGACACGGAGGGGACGCGGCGGGGCCGGAATCCTCCTCCCGGGTCACAGCGGGGCCACGTAGTTCCCAGGGAAGGTGCCGAACTTCTGCGTCCTCCGGGACACGCCTGGGGGGGGGACAGGGGCAAAGGGAAGGGTAAGGGACCATGGGGGCAAAGCATCCCCGTGCCCACGGGGGCCACGCACCCACGAACCAGCCGTCATCGCACTGCTGCATCACGTCCACGCGGTCCCCCTCCAGCAGCTCCAGCTCGTCCGCGTTCTGCGGCCGGTACTGGTAGAGCGCGCGGTACCTGGGACACAGAGCGAGGCCCCCGAGTGCCACCCCCCAGCGCCGGGGATGCGGGGATGCGGTGCCCGCTCCCGGCCCCACTCACGGTGTCCATTGGATGGTGGAGCCGTTGTAGGACGGGGCGGGCTCGGGGGCCGCGCGCTGCAGCGGGGACAGGATGGGTGCTGGTCACAGCGCGGCACCCGCAGCCCCACCGGTGCTGGGCGCGGTGCTGGGGCATCACTCACCTGCTGGGGGGCACCGGCTGGGAGCCACGGCTGCTGGGGGGGGGCTGCGGGGTGCGGGGGGCTGCGGGGGGCCAGGGAGGGGTTTGGGGCGCTGCTATGGGGCAGCTTTGGGGATGGGGGGAAGGCGGAGCCGAGGGGGCGGGGGGAGGATGATGGGGGGGATGCTCGTGGGGAGCCGGTGGGAAGAGGGGGCCCGGGGGAGCGCTGTGGGGCCGGGGAGGCAGCGGGGGGCCGGGGGGTGGCGCTGGCACAGGGTGGGACGTCCTCGGAGCTGGATTTGACCCGCGGCTCCTTGAGCACCTGCACGTAGGTGGCGGGGAAGATGCCCTGGCGGCTGGTGCCGGAGATGCGCCCCTCGTACCAGTTGTGGTCCACGCGGCGCGCCAGGCACACGCGCTCGCCCTGGCAACGGGACCGAGCCATGGGATGGGCTGGAAGGAGCTCATCCAGCGCCAACCCCTGCCATGGGCACCGACCCCTGCCACTGGAGCGGGGTGCTCCAAGCCCCTCGGCCATGAGCACTGCCAGGGATGGGGCAGCCACCCCCTGGGGCTGCTCTGGGCACGGTGCGGCAGGGATGGGTGATGCGGGGATGCTCTGGTACCTTGCGGAAGGAAAGCTCCACCGGCAGCTCCCCTCGGAAGGTGTAGAGCGCCAGGGCCTCGCCGTACTCCAGCACTTGGATGGTCGGCGCCTTGATGGGCTTGGGAACCTCCGTGGAGGGCAGGATCTGGGGGGCACAGCGGGGTGAGGGTCAGTGCTGGGTGCCCCAGTGTGGCTGCACCCCCCCCATCTCCATCCTCATGGGCTCACCTCCACGTAGTTGGAGGGGAAGATGCCCACGCGGCCGTGGTGCTCGCCCTCCAGCCAGTTCCTGTCCACCTCCTTATGGATGTAGACGATGTCCCCCTTCTGCAGCGTCAGCTCCCTGCGGGCAGCAGCGCTCAGGGGTACGGGCCCGTCCCCAGCACCCCGGTGCCACCCCCGGACCCCTCCGGCTCCCCCGGGGACTGCAGCAGCGCCACCGCTTACTTGGGCGACTCAGCTTGGAAATCGAACTTGAGGCGAGCGGCTTTCATCTGGGGAGGGGGAAGCGGGGTCAGGGGAGGGCTCCCCCGTCCCCCCCATTCCCAACCCCACGCGGGACGGGACCACCCCGGCCTCACCTTCTTCTCCTCCCTCCTGAGGGGCTCTGCCGGGTCCCCCGAGCCGGGCGGGCAGGGGAGGGGCTCTGCCCGCGGGGTGTCTGCAAGGGGGGTGTCAGCAGCCGGCTCCATGGCGCGGTTCGGGGCTGGGAGGGGAGGGGGGGGCCTCACCTCTGCCGGGGGCTGCGCGGCTCCGCTCGCTGCCCTCCCCCGGGATGCTCCGCTCCATGGCCGGGGGCTGCAGCCGGGTCCTGCGGGGGGGGGGCAGCGGCTCAGGGCCGGGAGCTCCCGAACCGGCCCCTCCCTCCCCGGGGTTCGCTTCCCTTCCGCTCCCCCCGCCCTGGGGCCGCTCCAACCCTCGGGACGCTGCGTCCCGGCCCCGGGAAGCGGCTGAGCCCCGCCCGCCCCGCCCCGTCCCGTCCCCCCCGACCCCGGCCCCACAGCCCCGGAGCGGGGCCGCGGGCTCTGCCCCCCCCCCCCGTTCCCTTTGCGGGGAGCACTCACGGCGGGGCCGCGGGGGCCGGCGCGGGGCGCTGCGGGAGGGGCGGGAGCGGGAATTGATGATGCGGGAGGCCGGGGCCGGGCGGGAAGCGCAGGAATCCAGCGCCGAGGAGGGACGGGAGGAGCCGGGACTGGGTCCTAGCGCCCCGCGGCCACGGCTCGGACACGGCGCGGCAGGGAGGGACCGGCCACACGTGCCCCGTGCGGATGTGCCCGCACCCAGCCCAGCCCGCACCCAGCCCTGCCCGCACCCAGCCCAGCCCGCACCCACCCCTGCCCGCATCCAACTGTGCCCACATCCAGCTGTGCACAGGTCCATCTCTGCCCGCACCCAGCCCAGCCCGCACCCAGCCCTGCCCGCACCCAGCCCTGCCCGCACCCAGCCCTGCCCGCACCCAACCCTGCCTGCATCCAGCTGTGCCCACATCCAGCTGTGCACAGATCCAGCCCTGCCCGCATCCAGCCCTGCCCGCATCCAACCCTGCCTGCACCCATCCCTGCCCGCATCCAACTGTGCCCACATCCAGCTGTGCACAGATCCATCTCTGCCCGCACCCAGCCCTGCCCGCATCCAGCCCTGCCCGCACCCACCCCTGCCCGCATCCAGCCCTGCCCGCATCCAGCTGTGCACAGATCCATCCCTGCCCGCATCCATCCCTGCCCGCATCCAGCCCTGACCACATCCAGATGTGCACAGGTCCAGCCCCTCCCGCATCCACCCCTGCCCGCATCCACCCCTGCCCACATCCATCCCTGCCCGCATCCATCCCTGCCTGCATCCCCATGCAATGGCTGTGTGCGCAGCTGGATGGAGATCCCATCCCCATTCCATGTCCCGTCAAGGCCATGGGGCACAGGAGGGATGAAGCCGGGATACCTGACAGGGTTCCCATCGTGTCTCCATGGCCCTCATGTCCTTGTCCAGCTCCACACTGAGCTGCTCCAGCTCCTGCTCCAGCAGCACCTAGGGCAGGATGGGGCTGCACCAGGCGAGGGTGGCTCTGCCCGCACCCTGCATCCCATGGCACAGGCACCAGGACCCCACTGCCAACCCCTTGGGTCCCAGCTTACCTCAATGGGACGAGCCCGCGCTGGTGGCACCGCTGTGGGGGGCTGGAAAGGGCGAGGGGCTGGTGAGGTTTGTGCCCACCGGGGGTCCCAGCAGCATCCCCTGGGCAGGATGTTCCTACCTGCTCCAGCAGCGAGGAGCTCCCTGGTTCGTAGTCAAAGATGCTGCCGGGCTCCGCAGTGGCATCAGGGAGAGCCCAGGGGGGCCTGTGGGAAGCAGGAGGGGCTGAGCCCCAGGGCCCTGCACCCATGGGTACCACCCGGCCCCGCGCTGCACTCACCAGTCCCCGTTGGGCACGGCCGGCTTCACCCGAGGCGCTGGGGGGGACGGAGGCAGCGAGGAGCTGAGCTTACCCATGGGGCAGGGGTGGGGGTCCCAGTCGGGCTCTGTGGGGATGGAGGAGGAGGTGAGCGCTGGCACAGGGTGCCCAGAGGAGCTGCGGCTGCCCCATCCCTGGCACTGCTCAGGGCCAGGTTGGACACAGGGGTCCCTGCCATTGGAACTGGATGAGCTTCAAGCTCCCCTCATCCCAGCCCCTTGGGTGGCTCCTCACCCGGCAGCCTGCGGTGCATCTGCCGGAACATGCTGCGGTACCAGTCCCGGGGCTGGTCCACGCTCTGCGGGGACACAGCAGGGGTCAGGGGGTGCCGTGGGGGGGAGGACCCGCAGCCCTGTCCCCCCCCCCCGCTCACCGAGCGCGATGCAATGGGCATCCCGGTCTCATCCACCGGCCCGATGCCGTCGTACTTGACCCAGCGCCGCTCCCGCCTCCTGCTGTCCTTGGTCCACGTTGCCGACCAGCCCGGGGGGGCCCGGGGGCCGGGGGGGGCAGCGCTGGGGCCGGGGGGTGCGGGGGGGCTCCGTGTCCTCCCCTCCTTGGCCGGCCAGGTCTGGTACCAGTCACTCGCTGGGGATGCAGGGGATGAGGGGAGCCCTTGCCCTGTGCTGAGCACTGGGGACGCTGGGGATGCTCGCGGTGGTACCTGAGCTCCTGGGGGTGCCCCGGCCGCGTTCAGGGGCCTCTGGGCTGTGGAAGTCGAAGTTCAGGGTGTTGGAGCCGTGGTGGTGGATGATGGGAACCTGCAGGACATGGAAGGGGCTGGAGCAGGGGGAAGGCGCCGGGGGCACAGGGATGGGGGTGAAGCAGGTCCCCACTCACCCGCACGGCCGGGGGCACGCAGGGAGCAGGGTGCGAGCCGGGGGTGTCCTCAGCGCCCTGATCCCGGCTGGCAGCGGGGGCCGGGAGCCGGCCTGCCATGGCCGTGGCCGTGTCCTGGGGGAACGCGGCTGCGCTCACTGTGTGTCCCAGCCCAGCCTCATGGGTGCCCCCAGCCAGGGTCCATGGCCACAGCCAGGGCACCGGCTCCACAGCAGTGATGGATCCAGCCCCACCGGGGAGAAAACCCCTCGGTGAGGGACACGGTGATGGGCAAGGCCCTCATCCCATCACCCCCTTATCCCATCACCCCATTATCCCATTGTCCCCTCATCCCATTACTCCCTCATCCCATTACCCCCTTATCCCATCACCCCCTCATCCCATCACCCCATTATCCCATCCCCCCCTCACCCCCCCATCCCCTCCCCTCCCATCCCGTGATCCCGGTGCCCTCCCTCCCAGTCCCGTGTCTCAGCGCCGGCGCCGGGCGGCCGCCAGGGCCGCGGCCCCTGGGATCGCTGCCACCTCCCCGCCCTGCAGCGCAAACAGGGCCGAGGGAGCGCGCTGGGAACCGCGGCTCCGGGCGGGGCGGGACCGGGACCGGGACCCCGGAGCGACGGCTCCGGCACCCCCGGGTGGGGGGGCCCGGGCTCACCCCTGCCCTGCTGCTCCCTCCCCTCTCTCCCTCCTCTCTCGCTGATGCCCTGGGGCCCCACTGAGGACCCCCCCCTCCGACAGCGCCCCCCGAGGACCCCTCAGCTCCTCGCCCCCGCCCGCACCCCCGGGGCTCTCGTTACCGCTCATCAGCACGCAGTTAACAGCAAGGAGCGCCCCGGGCGCAGGCTCCGACCCCCCCCTACCCCCAGGGCACCCCAGGCTCTGCCGCCCCATCCCCGGCAGCCCCATCCTGCACCCCCGGAGCCTGGTCCATGGGGGCCCCGCCGGGCCCTGCGGCAGCACCTACCTGAGGGGGGGGGGGGCACCGGGAGCGGGCCGGAGCCGAGGGCGCTGCGGAGCGAAATGGAGGGAGCGGAGCGGAGCGGAGGGGAAGGAGGGGACCGGGGGGGGGCTCTCAGCGCATCACGGGCGCGGCCCCCCCGCAGCAGCCCCGGCGCTGTCCCCGCAGGGGGTCCCGGCCGCGGCGCTCCCCGCTCCGGAGCGGCCCGGGCCCATTCACAGTTTCCAGGGACATTTCCAGGGCCGGGATCCAGGGCGCGGGGCCAAGAGGCTGAACCCGTCCCACGCCCCGCGCGCGTTCCCGGGCGCGCTCACGAGGCGGGGGGGACGGGGGGGACGGACCGGGAGGCACCGGTACCACCCCCCCCCCTCCGCTCTCCATCCCCTCTGCCCCGTGGGATGCGGGCACCGGGACCCCCCCCCCGCTTCCTCCTGCGCCCCACAAGTGCGGGCAGCGCCGCCCCTTCCCCTGCCGCTGCCCCCATCGATGGGGGCCGCCCCTCGGTCCCCTCCCGGCCATGGGGCCGGGCAGATCGCGGACCCCCGACGGCCACGGGATGGGGCAGCCCCGGGGGGGGTAAGGGGGCACTCGGGGGCCGAAGCAGCAGGGGAAGGGCTCAACCCCGCAGCGCTGCCCGGGTCCCCTCCGCCCCACAGCACCGGGGCCACCTCCTCCCTGCACCCGCTCCCGGTCAATGTTTAACGCCGGGGCCAACAAAGGGCGTTTGCGAGCGTTTGTGAGCGTTTCCTGTTGGCGGTGCCAGCGCGGAGCCGGGCCCGGGACACAAAGGAGGGAGCCGGGGGTGAACCGGGAGCTGGGAAAGGCTGGAGCAGCTCCATGGAGCCGGGACACGGGGAACGGCTTGAACCGGCCCGGGAGGGGGGGAGATGGGGCTGAGCTCTGGGGGTGCCGGACACTGGGATGGGTTGAACAGAGGGGAGCGGTGCCTGCCCCATGGCTGGGTCGGACACCGGGGCTGGAGCAGGAGCCGCGCTGAGCTCCCTTCATCCCAGCGCATCCCCGGGCGCGCTCCGAGGGCAGCACCGGGAGCGGCTCCACAAGCGCGGACACGCAGCGGGGCAGGAGCGGCCTCAGCCCCCCCTATCCCATCCCATCCCATAATAACCACAGCGGGGCAGGAGCGGCCTCAGCCCCCCCCATCCCATCCCATCCCATAATAACCACAGCGGAGCAGGAGCGGCCTCAGCCCCCCCATCCCATCCCATCCCATAATAACCACAGCGGAGCAGGAGCGGCCTCAGCCCCCCCATCCCATCCCATCCCATAATAACCACAGCGGGGCAGGAGCGGCCTCAGCCCCCCCATCCCATCCCATCCCATAATAACCACAGCGGGGCAGGAGCGGCCTCAGCCCCCCCATCCCATCCCATCCCATCCCATAATAACCACAGCGGGGCAGGAGCGGCCTCAGCCCCCCCCATCCCATCCCATCCCATAATAACCACAGCGGGGCAGGAGCGGCCTCAGCCCCATCCCATCCCATCCCATAATAACCACAGCGGAGCAGGAGCGGCCTCAGCCCCCCCATCCCATCCCATCCCATAATAACCACAGCGGGGCAGGAGCGGAGCCCCAGCCCCACCCCCATCCATCCCATAATAACCACAGCGGGGCAGGACCGGCCTCAGCCCCATCCCATCCCATCCCATAATAACCACAGCGGAGCACGAGTGGCCTCAGCCCCCCATCCCATCCCATCCCATAATAACCACAGCGGGGCAGGACCGGCCTCAGCCCCCCCACCCCATCCCATCCATCCCATCCCACCATAATAACCACAGCAGGGCAGGAGCGGCCTCAGCCCCCCCCATCCCATCCCATTCCATAATAACCACAGCGGGGCAGGAGCTGCCTCAGCCCCCCATCCCATCCCATCCCATAATAACCACAGCGGAACCGAGCCAAGGTTCAACTCTTTTTTTTCTCCTTTTTCGCCCCGTTTTCCCCTCGGGGCGGCCGCGGCCCCTCCCCCCGCGGGCACAGAGCAGGGAATGGGGGAACCGCGGCCCGTGAGGACAATTTTGCACTTTTTGGGTTTTTGTGTTGGTTTTTTTTTTTTCCCCTCTTTTAAACAGAACTAAAAAAAAAACAACCCAAAATCCAAGGAATTTTATAAAACAACCGCAGGAAAAGGAGGCAGCGCCGGGCCCCGACCCCAGCATCACCATCCCCATCCTATGGGGCTCCGGGCATCCCCTGCCCCCGAGGGGCTCCAAACCCACCCCAAAACAGGAGACCCCCCCGATCCCCCCCGCCCCATCGCTGCCTCCCTCCCTTACATGCACCTCGCTAGAACATGCACAAACACCGCCCCAAACCCACCCCAGGCTGCGGGGCGGGGGGGGCCGCACTGCACCCCCCTATGGGCCCTGCTGCCGAGCTCCGGGGAGGGATAAAGGGAAGGGAGCCCCGAGGGCTGGCACTGGGGGTCAGGAAGGGGAAGGGGGGTTTGGGGGGATGAGGGAGGCAGGGTCTCCATCAGCTGAACCGGTGAGGAGGGGATGGGGTTCTGGGGTCCTGCTGCCCGCATGGGCAGGGTTAAAGGGATGCAGGAATTACTGCCCGCGAATGACATCCCCGCTGCTCCATGGCCGTTACCCAGGCAGAGCCGCTGGAATGGGGCAAAGCCCCAGCCCCATCTCCCCTTCTGGAAGGGGAAGCGGGGGAGCAGTGGGGAGCCCAGTGTGTACCCGGGCATCAGGCAGGGCTCCCGGCGCCTGGCACCAGACCCAAGGGGGCCGAAAGCTTCGCTGCTCTCCAGGGCTGGAGCACAAAGGGAAGCAGCGAGGTCCAGGAAGGGGCTGGCAGGGATCCCGAGCCAGGGGCAGGGACAGGGACAGGGGAGGAGAAGGGGAACTGGATGGGGTTTGCTCTGCCTGCGCCCTGGCACCAGGATGGGGCTCCAGAGCCCCCGGGGAAGGGAAGCGAGCGGACAGGAACCCACAGAACCCCTCTGGAGCGCTCACCTCAGGGCAGTTTAATGGGAAAGAACGAGGCTTTGCTCAACAGATCCACGCTTCAAACCCTGCACACTGCACAGAAACCCCCCTTCCCCAGCCGCTCCCTCTGTTCCCTACCTGCCAGCCTGCCCTAACCCTCCCTCCCTGATGCCCTCTGCAACAGAGCCACCTCGCCCCCGGCCAGCCCGCATCCCGCAGCGCCATCCCTCATCCTTCCCTCAAAGCTCCATCACAAGCTGGAAAACCCCCTCCACCAGGATAAGCCCAAGTGCCCGGGGCCCCATTGCACTGCACATGGTAGCCAGATCAGCCCAAGGTGCCAGCAGGAGGTGAAAGACACCCCCAAAACACATGTGGGATGCTGGGGGGGGGATGCTGGGTTAGCCAAGCCCACCCTGGACAGCCAGCAGCAAGGGCTGACTGCAGAGCTGGGCACGAGGGAACGCACCATGGGCTCTGCAGGATGCGATGCTGGTACCCGGGGGGGTCTGGGTACCCACAGGCTCTCAGTCACCCCCTTGTCCTTAAGCACCCAGGCCCTGCAGGTTCCCCAAGGATGGGAGGCAGTTCCTGTGCTCTGGATTCCCGAGGGATCCCTGCAGCCCCAGCCTCAACCCAGGGGGAGGCTGCACCGAGGGGCAGCGCTTCTCCCACCTCGCTCCCTGCTCTTACTCGAGGTCACACATCCTGCTTGGGGCCTGAAGGACCGAAGGGAAAGGGGCTGTGACTGCTGCAAGCCCCGGAGCCCTCGGAGCTAACCCTGGGTATCTGCATGGCACCCTAGGAGAGGGATGGATCCGGGGGATGAAGGAGCTGCGGCAACAGGGAGAGGTGGGCAGGGAGGAGGACAAGGAAACCCTACCCCTAACCCCATCCTCAGGACCCCCGGTGGTACCCAGGCTGCAGAGCCCGGAGCACGGGGCCAGGGGGTGGGTTTGGACATGGGACATAAATAAAAAAGGACGGACTCACAAACCGGGCACCTTGGGGGCGCGGGGGGGGGCTCCCCCAGGGACAATAAATAAAGAGAATCCATAGCGGCCCTCACTGCCCCTTCCTGCCCTTGTCGGCGGCGTTGGTGCAGGCGGCGGCGGGGCCGTCGTGCTCGCGGCGCGGGGGCATGCGCTCGTTGATGCGGTCCAGGCCCCGCGCCTCCTCGA